GAGAGCACAGGCGCGTGTGTAGCAGGCTACACCCTTAGGTTGTGTTAAGTACACTCTAAGATCATACAATGACAAAACTGCCTAACGATGCTTTTTTTTTTTTTCAAGACAAAGTCTTACTTTGTTCCTCAAGTTGGAGTGTAGTGCCATGATCTCGGCTTACGGCAACCTCCACCTCCCAGGTTCAAGCAATTCTCCTGCCTCAGCCTCCTGAGTAGCTGGGACTACAGGCACGTGCCGCCATGCCCGGCTAATTTTTGTTGTTGTTGTATTTTTAGTAGAGACAGGGTTTCACTATGTTGGCCAGGCTGATCTTGAACTCCTGACCTCATGATCCACCCGCCTCAGCCTCCCAAAGTTGCTGGGATTACAGGCGTGAGCCGCTGTGCCGGGCCCACAATGCATTTCTCAGAATGTATCCCTGTCATTAAGTGATACATGACTGTGCGTTAGTAATGAGAAAAGAGAAAGGAAGGAAAGCAGCGAGGGAAGAAGAAAAAGAAGAGCAAAGAAAGAAAAGAAAATTTAAAAGAGACAAATGAAGCAAACACAGAAAAATCTTAGTAATCGTAGAATCTGTGAGATGAATATACAGAGGTTACTTATATTGCTCTACTTCTGTTTTTTTATTCATTTTTTTCTTAAACTATTTTTTCTTTGTTCTTTTTTTTTCTTTTGACTGAGCCATCCATTTCCTATTTCTGTGTATTTTGAAAGTTTTCATAATAAAGATTAATTTTTTAAAACCACCAAGATCACTAATCCTATACTAACAAAGCACACGATCTCTCACATCCAAAAAAAAGTCCCTCTGTGAGAGCCCATTTTCTGAATAGTTTAAAACACAAAACATCCCTATTTCATTATATGAATGTTCTTGAGATTTTAAGAATATATCTTAGCAAGGAATAGACAATACTGAATTCCCTTTCCCAATGATATCTTAATTTAAAAATAGCACCAAAATCGACAGGGTGTGGTGGCTCATGCCTGTAACCCCAGCACTTTGGGAGGCCTGAGCAACGGAGGAAGATTCTGTTTCAAAAACAAAAACCAAAAAACAAACAAAAATAGCACCAAAATAAATGAAATACTGAAACTCATTAGTTACAGAAAAGAAATAGTGTCTCCAAAGCATCAAAACCCAAACACTGGAAGGATACATTAAACAACTGAAAAGTGATGACTTCTGGGGCAGAGGCAGAGACGAGTATTCTCAATTAATACTTCTTAACATTGTTGACTTTTTGAGCCATGTGAATGTATTGCCTAATCAAAAATAAAATTTAATTTCAAATAAAATAATTGAATATACACTTTTCATATTTGAAAGAAATAATGTTACTCTTCCATGAAGAATCTTACACTAAAGCTTTAAAAAGGAAAAATGAGCTGCTCTTTAAGACTTGCTGACAGTCATGTACACCACGACGGTATTTTCCAGGATCAACCTTTGGCACTTTTAAAACATGTTAATTTCTCCTCCTACTTCTAAACAGGTTCTTACTTTTCTTTAGACAAACATTAAAAACTTGAAATAAATCTGGAGTATTTAACATAAAAGCAAAAGACTCCCTGAGGTTAACTTGAAAAAAGCTCAAATCAAGGAAAGCCCCTTCTATTTTTCATTTTGTGTCAAGCCACACATTTAAGTCTTTACTTGAAAGGTGATGAATTTAACAAGGATTTAGAAATCTTCACTTTGTTCCACTCATCTAACTCAAACCGAACCTATGATATTTTTCCTTTCTTTTCTCATCCATTACCTGGGCGGCAGCCTCCTCTTGTCAATCAAGATTACTGAAGCCTCAAACCAAAACTCTATCATTTGCCGGTTAAGCTACTTAAAATAGATCTTTAAAACCTGATTCTTATCACCTCTTCTGATGCATTTCTGCATCCCTTTCCCTGGTTCTTTTACTGAGTTAATAGCCAAATAAATAAATTAGTATTAACACTGTACGATAAGCTAAAGCCCCACACGGCTATCTGGCAGACTACACTGTTCCCAGCACACCTGGTGATTTCATGGACTGAGCAGGCAGGTGGAAGACTCCATCAACCAGTGAGCACTGCAAACATGTCATGCAAAAACATGGCATTCTCCTTCTAAAAAGAAAACTCATCACTGGATTGCTTTTCATGGTTACTGGTCTAGAAACAAGCTTGATTAGGGGCTATGAATTAATATGTATTTACTGAAGGTCCAGAGTGTTTGTTGTTGCAGAGCTTTAAATATGGTTGACAAGACACATTTAACGTCCAGAAGAACATATTAGCAGGTCAGCTTTGCAGCACACAGGCTGTTAGCACAGCGGAGCCAGGCGCTACACAAGGCTAGTGCAGACTCAGCGGCTTCATGGACCCCTGGCAAGACGTCACAGGTGTGTAAGACAAACCAGGCAGGCAATGGGAACCCACTGCTCCCCTGACAGAGGTTCTGCCTCTGAGACAGAAAGGGGTTTGGCTGGGATAAACTGTGGAGGAAGAGCAGGGGTGGAAGAAAAATTAGAACAAATAAATGTGAGTAAAGATGTTTCTCTCTGTAAAACAAAAGTAGGTTGTGATCAGATTCTACAGTGCACCCAGAGCCAGGCTTGCGGGCTGTAGGCAGCTGTATTTACACCCACTGTTATTTAGATGCAAATTAAGGGGTGGGTTAATGCAAATTGGGAGAAGATTATTCAGAACTTTCTAGGAAGGGGGTGCGAACTTCTGGGTCATTGGCCATGGCACTTATGAACTGTCATGGCGCTGGTGGGTGTGTCTTATGCTAATAAGCAGTGAGGGCAGCCAGAAATCCCTTTCCTTGGCATCTGCTGGTCTGGGCTGATTTCTTTACTTCAGCCTGTCTGGACCGGATTCTGTTCTGGTCAGGAGGTTGTGACCAGAAAACAAGTCCTGCTGATCTCCTACCTTGGAACCACCATTTGGGCATATGCTATATTTACAGAGTATAGTTACATGGAAAAACTATCACATTTAAGGCTAAGGCACTACTGAAAATAATCAGGTATGGGGGACATATGAAAGGAATACCACATACAAATGAGAGTAGCAAAAATTAGAATATTTAATATTAAATTAGAATATTCAATATTTTAAATATTTAGAATTAAAATTAGAATTCTGAAAATTAGAATATTTAATATTTTAAATATTTAGAATTAAAATTAGAATTCTAAAAATTAGAATATTAAATATTAAATATATTTAATTTACATTACTGTCCAATGTCAAAAATCAAATGCTTTACAGAAACATGGAAAGTACAAATAAATTTTACTACTGATTTACACTACATTGTTAACAGGTGAAACAGCCAAGCCAAATTTTTGACAGAATTTTAAAAGAGAAATTTTATTTTTTAATGCAACTATAGGGAGCAGCGTTTCAAGTTCTGCAACCAGAAAACAATTTTGTGAAACAATATCTTACATTAAGCTATAATATATTCTAAACCCTTGCTGTTTACCATAAACAAATTATTACAGATTTTGAATAACAGTTTATGTATTTGCACTAAAAAGAAGACGGATGTTGAATTTGAGATACATTTTTTAAAAATGGTAGCTAACTAACCTGGGCAACACAGCAAGAACCTATATCTCTGCAAAACAATTTAAAAATCGGCTGGGTGTGGTGGTGCGCACCGGTAGTGTCAGCTACTTGAGAGGATGAGGCAGGAGGGCGGCTGGAGCCTAGGAGGTTGAGGCTACAGTGAGCCATGATTGTGCCACTATACTTTGGCCTGGGCGACAAAGTGAGACCCTGTCTCTAAAAAGAGTTGTTTAATGAAAAATAAAAATAAAAAATAGTATCTGACCAAATATTCTTAACTAAAGGTTAGGAGACAATTATGTCTTATAAGTAAAAATGGTTTTGGCAACAGTGATGGATGCAGCCCAAAGAGAGGAAAATAAATGAAAATTAAGCAAGTAAGTGCTTCAATACACTCATTGATCTTAGGCTACCTCATCCTGCTGGTATAGAAAAGAACACAGAAAGTTATTGTTTACTGTTTTTATGACAAATGCCAAAATAAATAATTAAGCAATTACTTCTTATTTTGGAGAAGTACCTACTATGCTTTACTTGATGCTTCAATAATGCATAGTCATAAAAATATTTTAAAGCTTAATACCAAATAAAAAACATTATCACAGTGCATGCTGGTATGCTTTAATGAAGAAAAAACCAAAAAACTTATATTTTCTTCTATTACCTAAATCAATCTTAACTCTGCTACTTAAACAGTGTATCTCAAAAATTAATTACAAGAGAAAAATGTTAACAAGTTATTAAAGGGTAAGATTCTGAGCTTTTTCTTAAAAATTCCTATTGGGCATATAAAGTTGCTTGAGCTATAAACATTTTAAAATGTGTTCACTGTGAAAAGAGCTCTATTTCTTGGGTTTATAAATAAATATAAAAATTACAGAAACAGTGTGTATGTAGGGACAGAAGGACATACCTACTTTTCTCCAATATAATAAACACAGGAGGATACAGAAGCCAGAGGAGTACTTCTGTCAGCTTAAGTTCCTTAAATCTTTATTTCATTTAAATCCTTCCAGATGGACCAATAATGTGTTGACAATACATGTGTCCAAATAAAAATGAGAAAGCATAAGAAAGTAACGTTAGCACCATGCCATGTACCACTTTATCCCTTTACTGGTTCAGTAAACACGTGCTGAGCCCCTACTCTGGGCCAGCAACGGGGCACAACAAGGATTCCAGCAACGCTCACAGCATAGGAAGAGAACCAGAAAGCTACGCGAGGGCAGGACTGGAGAGAGACCAGATTCTAGAGTTTTAAACAAGAAAATGATACAAGCAGCTGAAGAATACGTGAGGGAAGCAGACCACGCCAGCAGAAAGGATGGTGTCGGGGGAAGGATTTGTACTGTGGGTGACTCAGTGGATGACAGTAGCTGCCGAATAAACATCAGTTTCCTTTTTCCTTTTCCTGTATGGGTATTTCTTGAAAAACTTACCTTTCTGCACGAATCACACCACTGTAGTAGGGGGGGTCCCAAGGCATTACTTCCTACAACGGAATAATTCACTGTTAAGGAAAGCTACTGACTCTTTCTCAGTTTTTATCAGCAACGTGGCCAGTTTATAGAATGTAAACCAGCTACTGTTCATGTAAATCAGAGCAATTTTATAGAATCCCTTAAAAAAGTGATAGCTTGGCAGAAAATACCTGGCTCCTTATTTTGACTTCCCTGTAATCAAAGGAGAGCAAGGTATAAATAAGACCTACAGAATCTGCGAAAAGGCAAACAAATGTCATTCTAAAGTGGAATCTAACAAAAGTAAACATTAATGAATTATATTAGCCATAATGAAATTTTTCCCAAAATGTAACCCATGTATTAATCCATAAAACATACTGTAGGTAAGATGAGTGTACTAAAGGTAAGATTAAGGTTCTTTCTAAATCTAAGCAAGAAGCTTTGGGTAGATATCAAAAATGAAAGCAACAATTTAAAGCGTAACCAAGGCAGAATTAACTCTAATCTTGGCAAAGAAAATATGTCATAAAGAAGTACTACAGTACTAGTTGCTTTTGATGACTGGTATATAGTACTGAAAGAAGGGAAAGCTTGAATACTTGAATGAACTGTCCTCCTTCTAGGTGTCCAGGTGGACAAGAGAGTGGTTAAGAGACCAGGCTGTGAAGACAGACTGCCTGGGCTCAAGTTTCCAATCCATACCAGACTATAAACTGTATGACGACAGGGACTTTGTTTGCATCCTTCCCTATTACATTCCTGTACCCTGAACAGTGCCTGGCACAGGGTAATCACTCAGTAAATACTTGTTGAAAGAATCAACAGTACCTCCCAAATAAGATTGCTGAATGTACTTAAACTATTAAGTAGAGTATCTGGCATTGAGTAAGGGCTCAACAAATGTTAGCTGCTCTCCTCAGTACCATTATCCTTTAACATTTCAGTTTAGGCATAATCTCCTCCAATAACAAGGTGTTATGTCCCATATTCCATGGTAATACTTATATCAAGGGATGTATGACAACCTAAGACACGTGTAGGCTTATTTTCTTTCTCTCCATGAGTGCCTGAAGGGCAGGGACTATGTCCATGGAATCCTGGCCCCACAGTGTTCAGGTCTTGGCACATATTTTCTCTAACAGATGATTATTTACTATCTGCTAGATGCAGACAGAGTGCAGGCTGTAATGAGACAAAGGCAAGAGGATGATAGCTTAGGCAGTGGAAAGGCAAGTGACTCAACAATCAGAGGACAGCATGTCATGTCTACATTGTGCCATGTAAAACATAGTCCACGAGAAGGGTATTTAAATCACAGCGGAAGGTTAGGAAATGTTCTCGAGAAGGCAAAGCCTGAATTGAGTTTTGTGATAGGAGCAGTTAATCCAGACGAGAAAGGGGGAAAAGCATTCCTGTAGGTGGTGTTTGTAAATGACTGGAAGCTGCCCACCATGCCATACTCATGTGGCCAGTACGTAAATACTAATTCAAATTAAAGAATCAAAGAAAGCAAAGCAAGGAAAGAAAACAAAACTAAATGAATAGAGATCACATGAGCATTGCACAGTTATTAGGAGAGAGCAAAGGACACAGCCTCAGCTTGGAGGGGCAGCAGCAGATGAAGCTAGAGAAGCAGGCAAGGGCCAAATCATGAGGGCTTGGCGGGAGCAGCAGGGCAGTAGGAAGGGAAATTAGAGAATAACCGGGAGCTACTGAAGAATTTTAAACAACAAAGTAAGAAGATCAGATCTGCTTTTCAGACAAATCCCTCTGGTGGCAATTCATTCATTTATTATTCATTCATAGTTCAAATAAGTGTTGACAACCAATTCTATGCCTAATACTGGGCTAAAACTATGGTTAAATTGTCTGAATCCAAGATGGCTTTGAGTAGAGCAAGAACAAAAGGCTAGAAACCAGTTTGGCATTCCCAGTTACCATCTGGGTGAGAATAATGATCCCAACCCAGGCTATGGCAATGGGTACAGGAGAAGACACAAAAGTTCACAGGATGGGAGAATCTGCAGGAACTAACAAATGATTATGGAGGAGGGCAGTGTGCAGTGCCTGGAGATGCTTGTTGAAACACAGATTGTGGAGCTCACCCCAGTTTTTGATTCAGTGGGTCTGAAGTGAGGCTCAAGAATTTGCATTTCTAACAAGTTTCCATGTGATGCTACTGCTTCCGGTCCAGGAACCACACTTTGAGAACCACTGGTCTGGATTAAGTACAGGCCCTGATTAGAACAGCAGGGTGAATGGTGGCACCATTCACCAAAACGGGGACTTCATGAGGAGACTGGGCATTTCACAAATATCTGCAGAATAATCGTATCCATAAGCTATATACAAGTGTCTACAGATAACAGTTTAAAGTCATATTCACTTTTACTGAATTAGCTTTTGGCAACACATTTTATTTTTTATTTTTCTGTTTCTATAGTCACCAAACTAAATTCTTATCTATTATTTAGTCTCCCAAATGAGACTACCTACCAGGCCAAGGTGTGCAGATGACTAATACTAGTTACTTTGCTAGACACAGCTCCCTCCATAAATTAACAGACTGACATGCTACTCTACACATCACTGAGTTAATGGGATTAATCTGTTTCCTAGTGGCTATATCTGGGAAGCTAGTAAACAGTTTGTAAATCTGCAAGGCCCATTTCCCTAAATCTTCCTTATGACTATGGCTCTGGCAGCAGCAACTAAGTCAAGAATTAACAACAACATTGGAAAAGAATGGTGTAGACAACCCCGGCAATCCTGTAGTGCCCTAGAACCAAATGGGAATGAGTCCTAATATCTGGAATCTCGACACTTTTCAGGGCACTCCCCCAACCACCTGGGCAGCATTCTGGCCATAATAACACTTGTCTATACTGTTGGACCACATAAGGAAGATCATATAATCATATGATTGAAAACACCACTTAAGTGTTTTTAGAATGTGGTATACTTTGTCAGTCAAATACTGACCTACTCAACTGGGCATCATAAATTAGCAAACAAATAAGCAAATGAACTGCAATGTTAACACTGATGGTTAAAATTGCCACCTGCCAGATCAAGCCTCCACTGAGTCTCCTTAAAGTCTGCTTCAAACTGAGAAGCCAACATTCCATAGAATGAAAGCAGTCTTTGCATGAATATATACACATTGTGTTAGTGTATTTACATACAGTATGTCAACTCCTCAACAAAAGTGCTACATGTACAGGCAACATCAGTTTCGGACATAAGAATCAAATATTTCAACATCTTTATTCACCAAAACTGAGGATCAGAAACAAGACTAAATGGACCTCTAGCCCATCACAAGAAAGTTCCTGAACCAAAAGATATGGATTTCAGTTGATAGACTGTCTATAATAAAAATATTCCAACATACTTACAGAATTTTGAGGATTCAGTTTCATTTTCATCTCTCGTATCATCTCAAAATCTTTTAGAGTTCTATAAAACAGGTTTATAATTACTTGTTAGGACAAAGTTTTAATAATTACATTATGAAAGGATTAGCTTGCTTATGTTACATTCCAATATTCATAAGAAGATTAGATATAATTAGTAGTGCACATGTAAATCATTATTATCCAAATTTTACCTAAGTGTCATGACAAATAACCATATATAAAGCAGCATATTCAATTTCTACCTTAAAAAGCAGCATGGTGGATATATGCCTCAAGAGTCCTAAAGCTTAGAAAAACTAGTAATGTCATTACAAATATGCAAAGCATTAATCAGCAAACTTTAAATCACTACTTTTTGCTATACCTTTTTAAAGAGACTAAACAAATTAACTTCTAGAAAGGAATTTTATCATTGGCTACATTTAAGATTTCTAGTCATTTTTCCCCTATAGAAAAACTCTAGCTGGTCAATAATTAAATAAGTATTTAATATTTGTAGAATATGACATGTATATTGGAATTAACTCCTAACTCCTATATATACCTGTAAAATTATGAAGCTATGCTTGCTCAAAAAATCTATAGCTATGTAGAGAAAGACTATTAACACTTAACTGAGTAAAGCAGGATAAATCCTCAATAAGTGCATAATTAATCCTCTTTATTGTATCAAAGACATAGTGGTTCACCAGGATTATTAAAAGAAAATTTTAGAATTTATAAACATAATCCAAACTAGAGAGGAATGAGTTCTAAGGCATGAGTTTATAGTCCAAAACAGAAATGTGAGCCAAGATCCAATGTGTTGGTATAGCCAAAAAAGGCAAACAAAATTTTAGACAGCATCACAAGAGAGAAAGAGGAAACACCATCCTTTCTTACAAACCATGACTGCTTCTTCCTAGAATCCTTAGTACCTAAAGGTGTGCTGCCTCTCAACTAAGCCCTGGAAGAGGGCCAGTGAAGGGCAAGTGCATGAGTGAAGGCACTGGGCAGGGGAGGGGCAGGGGAGGCAGGAATACAGGTTGAGCCTCCCTAATCTGAAAATCTGAAACTTTCTCAGCACTGACATGATGGGACAAGTGGAAAATTCCACATGTGATGTCGTGTGATGGGTTGCAGCCAAAACTTTGTTTCAGGCACAAAATTATTAAAAACACTCTATAAAATTATCTTCAGGCTATGTGTATAAGGTGTATATGAGACATAAATGAATTTCGTGTTTAGACTTGGGTCCCATCCCCAAGGTATTTCATTACATATATGCAAATATTCCAAATTTCCCCCCCAAAATGAAATCCAAAACATGTGTGGTCCCAAGCATTTCAGATAAGGGACACTCAACGTGTATGAAACAAACGGACACACCAAAGACAGTAAAACACTGCAGCCTGAAATTACAAACGCTGAGACAGAACATTCTTAAAATACTACACAAAATCAAAAAGACGCCACATCCACGAGCCTCCTGTATTTAGGCCAAAAGAAGAGAAATACTACTTTATGAACGTGTCATAAAATTCATGGCACAAGTTAAAATAGTTTCAAAAACATTTTGGTCAAGATTTTTAAAGTGCAAATGAAAGATGAATTTCTAAAAACAACTGTTTAATGAAAGGGGACAGTCTATGTTTTCAAGAATGGCACGTTAAGGAAGACAACTATGGCCTTTCAAAGTGTCTCATAGTGAGACAGGTCTGGTCCAATACGCCAAAACTTATATTCTAGGTCACTTCCTAATTTTTTTATAAATCAAGTCTCCTTTAAAAGGACTAAATAACATATAACCAAAAAACTAAATAGTAGAATAAAAACTAACCTTTCAGAAAGTTTGTCAGATAGTTTCTCAAGGAACTGCATGACAGTCTCTAAAAGGAAATCCAAAAGAAAATATCTTCAATTATGTGAAATAAAATGAACATATCTGTTAAAATTATTATATGATGATCATAATCTATATACCACAATTCCCTTAAAGTGACGATTTTCAAAGGAAAGTAGAGTTACTAACATATACCAAATATATAGTAAATACTTCTAGGTGATGATATCTTTTAATCAGAAAAAAATTAAATTGGCATACTAATAATCCACAGCCTCAGATTATATCCCAAAATTAAAAGAGTTAATGGGACAGGCACAGTCGCTCACGCCTGTAATCCCAGTACTTTGGGAGGCTGAGGGGGTGGATCACCTGAGGTCAGGAGTTCAAGACCAACGTGGCCAACATGGTAAAACCCCGGCTCTACCAAAAACACAAAAATGAGCCGGGCATGGTGGTGCATGCCTGTAGTCCCAGCTACATGGGAGGCTAAGGCAGGAGAAGAGCTTGAACCCAGGAGGTAGAGATTGTAGTGAGCCCAGATCGTGCCACTGTACTCCAGCCTGGGCAAGAGAGTGAGACTCCACCTCAAAAAAAAAAACGAGTTAATTGGAAGCTTAAGAAAAAAGTCCAAAACTTCAAAGTGTTTCTATCCATTCCTATGTGTAAGAAAAAACGTTCTTAGACACGTCTGATGTTTTCAAAGTTTTAAAGAGATATCTAGACTCTGCTTTATTCATTAAAAATAGGCGCAGTATGGAAGTATGATTCACTGAAATAAATTTCTTTTTTTTTTTTTTTTTTTTTTGAGACGGAGTCTGGCTCTGTCACCTGGGCTGGAGTGCAGTGGCCGGATCTCAGCTCACTGCAAGCTCCGCCTCCCGGATTTACGCCTTTCTCCTGCCTCAGCCTCCCGAGTAGCTGGGACTACAGGCGCCAGCCACCTCGCCCGGCTAGTTTTTTGTATTTTTTTTTTAGTAGAGACGGGGTTTCGCCGTGTTAGCCAGGATGGTCTCGATCTCCTGACCTCGTGATCCGCCCGTCTCGGCCTCCCATAAATTTCTTAAAATCAATGTTTTTCTTGATAACAATTTTATTTTTATATACAACTGTAGAAAAATCTATTCAGGATAAATATGAAAAAAATAGCAAAATAAGAAAAATAAATTTTAACTTCCGATAGAATTTTTAAAGTACTTTTATTAAAATACTTCTGCTATAGTTGTCATAATCTACAAACCCATAAAGGCAGTATAGTAGGATTACCACCATTTCCCATAAGAAGAAATGTTTTATGAGTATTTTTTAATGTAGCACTTTTTATCACTGACTTATGTATACAGAGCTTTCATATGTATTTTAGCTCACTACAAACACTATGTTTATATTTTCCAGATAATCTTTTATACAGTTTTAAGTTTCTTGCCCTCTCTTCAGTTTAAGTTACCTCCTTTTGAGTGAAATAAAAGGCTAAGGAAATAATTAACGGTGGTTAACCTAAACCCAAACCATGAGGTTTCTTGCCACTGTCAATACATAACAAGTCCTGTGTATACAAATTCTGAAAACACTGGCTCATGTGCCGTATGAAACAACAATTGGAATTTTGGGGGAACAAAGACATTATTTAGTCAACAATGAATCTCATTTTAGGATTATATTCCAGGTGCCATACCAAACTGTTTTGAAATGAATCCCTCTGTACGCTTGCATACGTTTTATCTCTTAATAACCCTCTTTTAACATTCATCCATCTTATTCTTCCAGTCATTTTACATGTGAAGAATCTGCCTCAATTAATCTTTTTTTTGAGACAGAGTCTTGCTCTGTGGTCCAGGCTGGAGTGCAGAGGTGCCATCTCGGCTCACTGCAACCTCTGCCTCCCGGGGTTCAATCCATTCTCCTGCCTCAGCCTCCTAAGTAGCTGGGATTACAGGCACCCGCCACCGTGCCCAGTTAATTTTTGTATTTGTAGTAGAGACGGGGTTTCACCATGTTGGCCAGGCTGGTCTCAAACTCCTGACCTCAAGTGATCTGCCTGCCTCGGCCTCCCAAAGTGCTGAGATTACAGGCGTGAGACACTGCCCCTGGCTTGCCTCAATTAGTGTCCCTAGAGAATTGTCATATTAAGACTGAGTTTGAAACCCCCTGAAAATCACTGAGTGCCTCACCGCAGTTACCTCCTCATTCACCGTCCACACGAATGCCCGCTTCGCCTCAGTCAGCGTTTCCTGTCTCCCTCTGCTCTGCGGAGGGCTCGCCCTGACACCGCACATGACGGTTTCATTTCCCTCAGGGTGCCTTCCACAGCCACAGACGCATCCGACAAACGCCCCGAGCTCTTACATCCCACGGCAATGTTTTGTCTGTACTACTCCATCAGCACCGAAAACGTGCCAACCTGTATTATCATTTATCTTTTTATATGCATATATCCGGCTCCTCAACTAAGCTTTAAATCCTCAAGGACCCAGGGCACATCTTACGTGATGACGTGCACAGCAGCCCCTGCCAGTACATCAGCACGCCGAGCACTTAGTGCACAAGGCTGACCTGCCAGTCACGGAATCTGGCGCTGCGTGCTGCAGGTCCAGTGAGCTCCACACTGCTAGAGCCGGTGGTCATGCCCAGCCCTCCTCACATCTGACCTGGCTGATCTCTCCCTTCTCCTGTAGACAAACCTTCTGCGTGGCCTCCAGGACCACACGCTGTGATCACTTTCCACCTCCCTTACCGGCCGTTACATCTGGCAGCGTTAACTAGCAGTTCCTCACATGCCTGGCCTCTTAAACTTGATGGCCCCAGAGCGCAGTCCTTGGACTTGTTCTTTAAGTTCACTCTCTTAGTGGTCTCAGAGTCTCACTTTAGAGGTTCAAACTTACATCTGAAGCTCAGAACTCCACACTCTATCTAACTGCCTACCCAACTTGGCCACATGAACCTCATTTGGTGTCTCCAACTTAACTTGAACCAAACCAAGTTCCCGGTCCTCCCAATCTTAGTTAACGGTAGTAACTCACTCTTTCGAGTTGCTTAGGTCAAAAATGTTGGCTCCCTCTTCCAAATACCATGTACCCAGAATCTGTTCACATCTTACCACCTTCCCTGCTACTACCTGGTCAAGATGCCAACATTTCTCATCATAGTTACTGCAAAACAGCATCTAAACAGGCCGTCTTCCACCCTGGCCCTGCTGCAGTCTTCTCTCAGGAGCAGCAGCACTGACTCTCACCATGAGCAGGGGAGTCACATCTCTCACTCCTCTGCCCCAACCCGCACAGCGACCTGTTGCACTCGCGTCGTCTCTACTTAATGCCGCCCCTTGTCAGCCCGTTCCCACCTCTCGCCACTCTCCTTGCACACGCTGCGCTTCAGCCACTCCGCCCTCCTCAAACGTGGCAGGCATTTTTCTGCCTCAAGACCTTAGCACTTGCCAGTGACTCTGCGCGAAACCTTCCTGCCCCCGAGAACCACAGCCGCACGCCTGTGCCTGTCAAGAGCGTGCTCACACGCCACGTTCTCAGTGAGCCCTCCGACAACACTCTCTCAAACTCCAGCACCAGCCTACAAGCCCACATTCCTTATCCCCTTCCCTGCTCAGTTTCTCCACAGCTTGTATTAACTAATAACACACCACATACTTTATCTACTCATTTCGTTCTTAACTGTCTTCCCTTGCTCACAAGAATGTAAACGGCATAAGGATAGGAATTTTGTTCTGCTTTATACACCATCACCGAGAACAGTATCTGACATATAGTGGGCAATCAGTAAACATCTGCTGAATTAATAAACACAAATGGGATGTAGAGGATATAAAACATAGGGCATTAGGTCTCAAGCAGCCTATGGAAAACCGTAAATGTAGAATATGTGTTTAGGCTTCAGTTCTGCCACATTGTAGCAATATAACCTAACCTTAGATTCCTTATCTGTGACATGAACACAAATACCTACTTCACAAAGCTGCAGAGGAAGGAAATGAGATAATAACAGAGTAAGCACTGGATGATATTCTAATCCTATTATTTTATATAAATATAAAATAAAAATATGGTACTATTATAATCAAACTGTTGACAACAGCGACTACAGAAAAACATACTTTCCACCAAACTGATACTTACAAAAAAAGACATACACTAAAAACACACATTTAATACATAACATACATATTATATCTGTTTAGGAGCTTCGATTATATGAAACAAATTATAAGTGTTTTAAGGGTTTAGGGACAAAGCGGTCCAAGGAAAGTGAAAAAGTTTAACAAGCTTCAAGAAAGAGGAGTTTTGAGCTGAGCACTAAAAAAAAGGGGTAAGATTTTAACAGGTAGACTAGGAAAAAAAGCTGGTCTCTGCAGGAGAGTGACATGAGCAAGGGAACCCAGGCCGCAATGAGTGACACACGCCTGTGGCTTAACTGAGAGCCTTGACAAGTCAAGGGAAACAGCTGTTTATGAAAGAGTAGGAAGCAAGATTGAGTGCATTTAGAGAACTCTGGAGAGGAGAAGAACATGCTAGGGTGAGAAGGGATAAGCACAGAAGGAATAAAGATAAGCGAGGATTCAGGTTGTGATTAAAGATAAGCGAGGATTCAGGTTGCGATCTGCCCCTAGTGTCCCCTCCGTCCGTGAGTGGAATGTCTAACCAGATATACAACTAGAACCCCAGGGGGCCCACCACACTGCCTCCTCCTCCCCTCATCCTCACTAAGTCTTGCAACTTCACTGCCAAGACCTTAAGTCTCACGCAGCTCCACCATCACGGCCACCCTACTCCTGACTCACCACCTAAATTACAACTGTAAGTTAATAAATGCTTTTGAAAAAACGTATTATGTACATTTATATTATTATTGTGTAACATTTTCTCTTAGACATTATGAATCATAAGGAACTCAACATAGCACAAGGCAGTTTATGACAAACCCAACGACACACTTCCGTAACACCTCACCTAGCACAAACCTTCCCAAGCAGGACTCTTCCCTCTGAAAAGCAGGCCTATCTGACTGGGTGTTTTTTACATGACCTAACCTATAATTAATCTCGACCTCAGTAAAATACTGATCTTTCATTCTCTCACCCTAATTCTAACCAATCTGGTCAAATGGAGCACAGAAACTAATTGAGTTAAAATGAAAACAATTTAGACTAACGTCAAAATGAAAATTTAGGTTATGATTTTACTCTCAACATTCACATAAAATAAAGTTCTTTGGTTGGACAGAATAGATGCCAAATTATTAGCTCTATTTAAAAATGGTTCCTATAAAAATACATAGAAAATCTCTATAAATGGTTCTCTGCATGTATTAAAAATAGAACACTAATTTACAGCTATTTAAAATCAAAAGCTCAGTTTCATAAAAATCCTATTTTGCCCTTAAATGTTGGATAAACAGGCTTACCTGGATTTTTAGCTATTGTTCCTTGGAGAGCCCTGTGGGAAAACGTGGAATACCCCACCAGCTTTGCCAGAAGATCTCTACTGCTGAGCAATTCTTCTAAACATTTCAACTGACCAGCGTTGGGATAGAGAAAAATTTTATAAGCAGCTTCTCGCACCTACATTTAAAAAGTAAATGGTGAAGGTTATAAATACCACGACACAGTCCTATGCGACAGTAACACAGGCTCATGCTCACCACTTTATCTGCAGATGATCACTGTTTTCAAAATAAAGCAATGGTCTACACGAGGCGATAAAGCTTCCAGAGTCATACAATAGCATGGGATGCAACAGCATCCGTGACTGCAGCTCTAGGGTACTGTTCCGAGGTACGGCGGGACAAACCTCTACCCAGTGCATGGATCTCTATGCTATACGGCGTCTTAACCAGGAGAAGTAAGGCTGCATGAATTTAAAAGTCTCTGTAGTCTAGAATGTCAATGCTGCTATTAATCATACTTTAAAAATAAGAAGTCTTGTATGAAATGTAAGTAATTAAATCAGTTTCATTCTTTTAAGTGTTTATGGCATTAATAATTCCACAAGTTAAATTTTTAGGGCTTAGTAATGCTAAAAAGTTTTTAAGGATACTATTATATTATCACTGAATTTTGGGTTAAAACAGTAGCAACACACAGATGGGACCTAAACAACAAAGAGAATGAAACATACATACCAAGTCATCTGGTGCCTCTGCATGGAGACCATCAATGATGATATGATCCCCAGCAGACGTAAAGTTATGACGAATGTGTTCTGGTAAGAGATGCTTCTCAATCTTGTTGGGAAAATTGGTTCCCATAAGAAATGTACTACTCAAATCCAAGATTTTAACATTGAGGTCCACTGCTCTTTTACGCTGTATGCAGGAGGAGTACAAGTTATTTCAAGGCATTTTGAATTAATATTTCACAATTTAATAAACAAAATATAAAGATGTCAAATCAACATATACATTGTTGGGTTATCATTTAATAAAATATTAAATATGTTAGTAAAATGAATATATTACTATATTTTATAAATAATATATTGATTTTACTTTTAACAGATACTTAATATTCTAACAAAAAGATCATACTTATGGTTTTCTGATGTTTCTATGCTTTAAGGTTTACATAACTTCTAGTTCTATTTTATGTCTAGGTTATATAACTAATTGTTGAAACTAACAACATTAAAAAACACATGCCAGGTGCAGTGACTCACGCCTGTAATCCCAGCACTTTGGGAGGCCGAGGAGGGCAGATCACTTGAGGTCAGGGGTTGGAGACCAGTCTGGCCAACATAGTGAAATCCCATCTCTACTAAAAATATAAAAAGTAGCTGGGCGTGGTGGTGCGTGCCTGTAATCTCAGCTACTTGGGAGACTGAGGCATGAGAATCGCTTGAACCCAGGAAGCAGAAGTTGCAATGAGCCGAGATCGCACCACTCCAGCCTGTGAGACAGAGGGAGACTGTCTCAAAAAAAAATAGTTCTTTGCAAAAGTGTAGTGAGCCTCCAGAAGTGGGGAAGCACATTTTAAAAGTTCTGATTTTGGCCGGGGGTGGTAGCACGCGCCTGCAGTCCCAGCCCTTTGTGGGACCACTTGAGCCCAGGAGGTAAGGCTTCCGTGAGCTATGATCACACCACTACAGCCTGGGCAACAAAGTGAGACCCTGTCTCGGGAGGGAAAAAAGTTCTGATTTTGCATGTGCTTGAGCTGCTACAGAATGATACGGTTAAGTCTAAGAAGTAAACCGGAGCCCCAGGGCATGGTCCTGTCTTCTACCCTGTGTCCCTGTCATGTGGCACATGGTCCTCATTCCTGCCAGGCCCTCAAATGGTCAGTGATGAGGATGTGGATGGTGCCGGCACATCCGCCTAGCTTTAACCTTTGTAACACACAATCACCTGAGAAAATGTGTATTAGTAAAGGGGTTGCCATAAATGCTTTAAGACGAAATATAAACTAGAATCCACATAATAGTCAGGTTGACTGGAGGAGAAGGGCTGAATTTTCAGTTACTGGTTGCTAAAAAACTAGACAGGCTCTGCACTGGGCTCATGTTGGGCTTCGGGTGAAAGTGTATACAAATCTTTCTGGGAGGGGAGACAGCAATTAACAGGTTCCAAACTGTTCTGTGTTCTAAAAAATGATTAAGCCACAATACTAACATACTCTTTAAAGATAAACATAGATGATGTAGAGGTATGCTTGATAAGACACTGAAAAAATTGGCTATATATCAATATCCCCAGAATTTCAATATAGAAAATTCAAATTTCATGGAAAAAAGTTTTCGGAGACTCCCATTTCTTTACAGTCCAGATTTCTCTTTGCTCATTTTGTTTCTGATATGGCCATTTATCACCACCTAATGGTAACAAGTAGAATAACAAAAAAGATGAACAAGATTTTGAAATCACATTACAGTTCCAAAATTTTCTTCAAAACTTTTACTTTGAAAAAAAAAAGTGATAAAATTAACTACTTTGAAGATTTTATCAACTGATAAAATCTCTGGAAAAATCAAAACTGAGTTCACACCAACTTCAATTATCTGTCAGGCATATCACTTCATCATTCTGTGGTAACAATGAAATGTACAATAATCTGAACTCTTCAAAAATTCTATGAAATTTCTGTGTTATTAAATAATGTTAAAAATAAACATTTCTATTAATTTTAAACTTATATTTGTATGAGACCTTAAAAATTAGGGTCGGGTATGGTGGCTCACACCTATAATCCCAGCACTTTGGGAGGCTGAGGTGGGTGGATCACCTGAGGTTGGGAGTTTGAGACCAGCCTGATCAACACGGAGAAACCCCGTCTCTAATGAAAATACAAAATTAGCTGGGCATGGTGGCGGGTGCCTGTAATCCCAGCTACTCAGGAGGCTGAGGCAGAAGAATCGCTTGAACCCGGGAGGTGGAGGTTGCGGTGAGCCAAGATTGCCCAATTGCATTCCAGCCTGGGCAACAAGAGTGAAACTCTGTCTCAAAAAAAAAAAATTAATTAATTAATTAATTAATTAAATAAGAAACCAACTGGAAAGAATATAGGCTTTGACGATTTACAGATTTTTGTTGGTGGGTTTATTTCACGGTCTCTCTTTTGAAAAATGGAACATGTCTACTTTATATTCTGTCCTAGTGAGGCACCTTTGAGAACAGACACGGAAGTTACAAGGGAAACACTGAGCAGGTTTACTTTACTTGCATATTCAATATTGATGGGTCCCCCAGGGAGCTGCTCACTGGGAAAAAGGAGCTACACTGTGATAGTATGTTAGATAAAAGCGGCAATGTCTATGCTGGTGAAACTGAACCTATATTATTTGTCAGCAAAGTTTCAAAAGCATCCTTCATGAGGATACATAAAAACTAAAAACTATTCACCTGGATTCTCTACTAGCAACCTTCCTTCTGAAGATACCAAACTTGATGATAGCTAGCATTATTATGATTTGTCATACATTCACTCAATACTTTTATTGAGTCCAAAACTAATATGCATTAAAAAAACATGATCCATGTTCTCGATCCTTTGTAAGCCTAGAATTTAGATAAGCAACACAACAATAACAGCAGCAGCATCACCAAGAGGTAAAGAAGAATGTCACATGAGTGAAATAAGTAAAGTGCATTCAGACGAATACAAAATGCCACATGGATAAAAGCTTCACAGACAATGTGGCGTGAGGATGAAGCCTTCGTGGGGATTTCGGCCAGGGAAACCCGGTGAGCAGGCTTAGGAGGACAGCGCACCACACACCGGGGAGGACACTGTGTATGAGGGGCTGACAGCCGGAGCACAGCCACGAGTGTGAGCGCTCTGTTACATGCTAACTTCGCTAGTTCACTAGACTATGGGAAGTCCACAGGACGATTCTGGGCGGGAAAGTAACAAATCAATGCTTTAGGAAAACTAATCCAATGTTCACAGACAGGGAAGACTGACCAACGGGATGGTGACATGCTGGCCATGCAGGCTCTGGAGTCTGTCTGGCTTACAAAATAACCTCCCACAACCTCTACAGCTTTGGTTTCTTCATCTAAAAAAGCCAGAAGTAATAGTAGTAGCACCAAGCTCAAAGTTGTTGTGAAGAATTGATGAGAAACATGTGATTTAAAATAGCAAGTGCTCAGTTGATGTTAAATATAATGACTGTTAGGAAGACAGAGGCCTTAAGAACAGCCCGGGTGTTTGGTGATGAGAATCAAGATGATTTGCTTTTGGGATGCAGACAGGTGCCAGACTGTGGGAACAATGCAAGGACTTGGTGAGAAGATACGAGAATATTAGGAAGGGAAAGAATACAACTCACTCCGAAATTTTATTTTACAGAGAAGTATTAATGAAGAACTGATTTGGAAGGGGGCAAATGTGGTCACTTTAGGCAATTTGAGTTTACAGTGAAGCCCAAAAGCCTCACGGGCCGCTGGGAAGGCACATCCTGGCTCAGGGTCAGACCAGAATCACACACTGAGCCTTTAACACCACACAGACACATCAGATGCGTGAGGGTTCCAGCATTACTCAAACTCGGCACCTATCAACATGGTAACATCTACTGTATGTGATACATATTCCCAAGGCCCTACCTTCTACTTTCAAGATATTCTGATAGCTTAATCTCTTCATAGGTAAGTGGTTTAATTCTACCATATTTACTAGGAAAAATGTATTACTGTTTAAAACAAATAAACAAAGTCATAATAGTCTAGACTGCAGGGGAGTTGGGGAGACTGGGGGGCAGGCTGAACTTCCAGTGGTGTCAAGTCTCTCCTGTTCTTCCAACCCTGAATTTAAAACTGACATGAGGCACTTGGTTTCTCAGGATGTTATGCGCTAGAAAGAACACTGGCCAGTGTTAGAAATTTTAAGAACTAACATTGGCCATTTGTTAGTTAGGATGGCAACTCTGTCTTGTTTCCACATCTGTAAAATGAAGGGGCTGGACTAGGTAGAAGGCCCTCCATCCCAGTGTAAACACTGTGTAATCTATGCTTGCTGCATCTGTCAAACACACATATAATGTAAATCAATACACTTACGTAAGGTCTTAACGAGATTCTCTGTACTACCCATCTTCAGTGACATCAGCTTTCCCACTCACTCGGCAGTCTTTCCTGATATTGCCTATCTCATCCTAATTCCATGATATCTAAAACACTCCACTCGGCTCAAGTCTTTCTTAATTCTGAATTATCATGGTGTGACAGGTCAACTTCCAGAGAGGGAGCTACATTCAAAAACAATCTATAGAAGAATTTCATAACAGATAAAAAGACCTGCACATTTTTGCAGTATGGAAATTCAAGCAATACATACAAGGACTGTAGCAATAATGATATCAACTAAATGTTAGTAAAACAGGAAGAGTCAAAAAAACAGAGAAAAGATGTACCTTTTCTTTGTCTAGATGGATTCCACTAATTTCAAAATCAAACATAAACAGTTCAGCCACTCGCCTATAAATGAAATGAGCTCCAGGTTATAACAGGTAATAAAAATTACTAACAAAAAAAAATGTGGCTTTTTGTTAAATAAATCAGTCTTTTTGAGCCTCACTGCCAAAAGTTTTTTCAACACACACACACACACACACACACACACTTTGTTTTAAACAAGGATCTTAATATCCTCAGAAGTCAGGCAAAACATCCATCTATCTGACAATTACGATTGGCTCGTCATGTAAGAGCTTATTCCTTTATTCAGAGAGTACAAACCTGTGAAAGCCACCATAATAATTACTTATTTATTTCAACTCAATCCAAATCCTAATAATTAAAAACATAAAACAGGTTTTATATTTGGACAATTTTTCAAAGGCCCTCTGCGTGAGATTTTCAGTTTTTCTTCCAGCCAGTAGCAGCTATTTAGAATATTAAATCCTTTGATGCTGTGCTGGACGCTGACTTTCTTGGCTAATGAGAATTGTTTTCTTTCTTTTTACTCCTGCTTCATGCTTGGAACCAATTTCAAGTGTAACACCTTTTTTTTTTTTTTTTTGGTCAACGGTATTTAAAAAAAAAAAAAAACCAACAACATTGAATGGAAATAATCAAATATTTGATCTACTCTTTTGGCTTTCCTTGAGTTTTCAAAATAGATATATTTACCTTCCTGATTATTACGTCAAATATACCTTGAATGGAAATTTATACTGTACGTTTATCATATTACACAATACAGGTCTATTATGTGACAAAACTGTATTGCAGAAACATATGAAACATTTAAAATCACTAATCCTATCAAAGATGACTATTAAAATTCTTGTATTTCCTTTCAATCTACTTTTAATGCTATATATATATATAATATATTTAGAATTTAGAATAATTAAGGCCCAACTGTATACATTTATACTTGCTTTTTCTTGTAAAATTATATCACAAACATTGAACAGTTCTCCATGTCTTTAAACGTTCTGCAAAAAGTTGGCTTTTGATGCTTGTTTTGTATTGTCATATAGAATGCAAATGTTTTTATTCTCCCACTCCCATGAACCATAATATAATAAAAATCCTTGTTACATTTTTTAATCCTTGTTTGTTTCCCTAGGATAAATTCCGAGAAATTAATCAAAAAGTATGCACATTGACATATATTACCAACTTACATATATGCACATTGACATATATTACCAACTTATCAACTTACACGTAACTAGAGGATCTATCATTCCAAACCAGAAGTACTATTCTTATTCTGTTTCAACTTTGTCAGCCAGCAGCTTCATTCTACTTTCTACTTAATGGTGGTGGGTCTCATGCCAGGTACAGAGCAAAGCACTTTATACAAATTATTTTCCTTACATCTCACATGATTTCTTAGGAAGTACTTTTTATTTCCCTTTTACAAAGGAGAAAACTAGGGCTTAGCGAGCTCTGAAGCCAAAATCCAACCCCGCAGTTCCATTCTGGAGATGCACTTTCACCCACTTCACACTTGTTGCCACCGTTACACCTGTGGCACACTGCTATCAATTTTAGGGCCATCTGTCGCTATTCCTTATCTTGTGAAATGAGAGTTTCACAAACAGAATCTTTTGCCCATTTTTCTATAAGGGGGTTTTCTTTCCTCTTTTTTTAAGGTAATTTGAAAGTTCTCTTAACATAGTTAATATATTAACCCTTTGTCATATAAGAACCATTTTTTCACATTCTTGTGTTCTGACTTTGAATGTGGAAGCGTTTTTGCCATACCAAAGTTTGCAATATTTATATAATAAAAATCAACGAATCTTTCTGCAGTATGAGTTTGTATCATGCCAAGAAAGACCTTCCACATCCCAAGATTACCACTAGTTTTATAATTTCTTTTAAAAATATTTATATCTTTAATCAATCTACTTTTTTTACCCCAAATGGTTATCCACACTGGTCTAACACCATTTCCTGAAAACCAAGTCTTTCCCTACTGACGTGAAATGACACTTTTAGCACGTACCAAATAGTCTTACTGTATATATATATATACACATATATATATATGTGTATATATATCTATCTGTGTCTAAATTTTCTCTATTCTTCCATTGATCTCATTGACTATTCTGGCATTTTTAAGTACAATGCTCTTTAAATACAGCATTTTTATATGTTCTACTGTCTGGTATAAGTCCCTTTTTAGTACTTTTCCTTATAAGAGTTTTCCTGCCTATTCTGGCATATTTATTCTCTATGACTTCAAAATCATTTTAAGTAATAATAAAAAAATTCTTTATAAATTAGATAGCATTAAACTTATAGTAATAAACACTACTGCGCTATCTTCTTCCTTAAGAATACAGCACGTTTCTCCATTTCGGTCGCTTGCATGCTTCCTAGGTGTTGTGCGTGTCGCAGTTCCTCTACCTTCCTAAGTTCATTCCAACATGTGTTACAGCTTTGGCTGTTCTTGCAACTAGAATTTTCCCTCCATTATATCTTCTGGAGAATGTGATTATCTTCTTTGCATACATGAAAGCTCTTAATGGCTTTGGAAAAACCCCAGGTTAAACAGGTTTCTTTATGGCCTGCCTTCTCAGAGACTCTAAACTACTAAAATTTTTCAAACAGAGAAATACATTGACACATCAGATTTCCAAACTTACTGACTGAAGGAACCCCTCTAAGAAAATTTCTGAACATCTCAGAGAACTAGTATTTCAAGGATTGAATCTAAGAATAAGATGACGAGTTAATTTAAATCATTTCCTCTGTGCATTAACTTACCAGACAAGAGTTTATTAAATCTATAATTCTTTGCTTTAGCCACTGTCTTATATTTTGCCACATGAATGGTTCCAAAATACAATTATTTCTGGGTGCTAGCCAATACTCAAGTGCCATGATACTGCAATAATTATTACTTCTAATTCTTCTTCTCTCCTACTTCCAAGTTACTTTTCTTTTCTAGACTGTTGATATTCTACCCAGTTTATTTTCCCCAACATATTTACCATTTTATTATTTAAAAATTCCTATTGGCATTTTTAATAATATCTAGAAAGGTGGTATGGATCCTATCACTACAAGTCCTTTCTATCTAAAATGGTCTGCTAGTCCACTACAATTTTTGTACTCAAACAGGGGCATGTCGATCTTTAGTAAATACAGATTATGAATAACCTTCTATTTTTTACATTGGTTTGTTGTTATTCACAGTACCAGTTCAGTATAAATCTGGCACAATTAATAGGAATTCAACTTTTCCTTGCTTTGCTAATGAAAGCAAGATAACAATAAAGCTTAAACTACGGTGATGACACAGCTAGCTTTACTAGTGTCCTGAGCATCAGGACTGATAAAGTAAAACACCACTAGGTCCCTGCACACCTGCCAGGCAGGTGAAAATAACCCCTTGAAGACTGAGCTACTCACATACCATGCTGTTCATGTGTTAGATTAACAGCAACCTGAACCATCAATTGGTCCCTATAGAAAATGGCTTCATTTGGGGTCAGTAAGCCATGTATGGAGACAAAATAGGAGAAGGAAACAGGATCAGAAAGAAACAAGTTGTCGGAGGAAGTGTCCCACCAATAAAAAGTAGATAAAACAGGAATAAATGAGAAAAAAATTAATCTGTTATGACATACATACAATCAGGTTAAAGACAAACCCTACTCCACTGACAATTGCATTTGAGCAAAGAAATAAGATATCTAGGTTCCTATATCAAATATTCTAATGTGTTGATTTAGAAGTAAGGCCTTTTCGATCCAGATTTATAAACGTAGCCTAATGAACCAAAGCAAATCATTACAAGCATCTTGACATCCTCCCAGTAGATAAAATCGATTTGCTTATATTTTCTGATAGTATCAATTATGGAACTTTGAGCACAAAGCTAAGCATAATTATTAACTGTCTACAGGAGTTCACTCACTAGTTGGGCACCGACCACATGCCATGAATGTGTAGGTACTGAGGATGCAGCTGGGAACAAAACAGACCAAGCCCTACCCTCGAGGAGCCTACAGTCTGGTGAGATAGATGATGGATAAATAAACAAATAGGATACGTTGGAAGGAATGAGGGCTATGAAGAAAAATAAATCAGGATCAGAGGGTGGAGTCTGACCGTGTGTAAAGATTCGGGAGGAGACACCATTTGAGTGGAGTCCTAGAGAAAATGCAGGAGTCAAAAGATACCTGGGGAGGAACATTCCAGACAGAAGAGGCTGCAAGTACAAAGGCCCTGAGGGAGAGTCTCCCAACCTCACCTCTAGAGTCACAGTCACAACCAAGGCAAAGAAATGAGTGAGTACCTTGTTTCTGGATCAAGGGAATCCACAAGTTTTTTATCAGCTAGTAATTTTTGCAAACTTTGATATAAATCCACATTTGTGTTCAACCTAGAAAAATTAGAAATGTAAAAAATTAGTTGACTTTCGAATACCTTATTTTTAACTTTACATGAAAAGAATGGTGTCAGATTGTACCATACACATGCCCAGAAGCTGAACAGCATAACCTACCAGGAACAGTGTAACCATCCTTCCTTCCCTCTTTCCTTCCCTTTTCTCCTTCCCTTCTTTCTTTCTTTCCCTTATTTTGGAGACAGGGTCTCACTCTGTCACCCAGGCTGGAGTGCAGTGGCACAATCACAGGTCACTGCAGCCTCGATCTTCTGGGCTCAAGTGATCCTTCCACCTCAGCCTCCCAAGTAGTTGGGACCACAGGCACACACCACCACGCCCAGCTAATTTTTAAATTTAAAACCGCTGTAAGGGAGAGCTCAGGACACAGGCCTCAGCGCCATGCAACTGGGATGCAAGACTGGCCCTGCAACTGCTCTGGGACCTTGGACACGTCATTTAGACCTTAGGCTGCCATGAGGATTAAATGAGATCATGTGTGCAGCACACATCTCCTATGTGAATGAACCATGGCCACTGTTGAGCAGTTGTGCCATCCAGAGAGCAAAGGGCCCAAGGCTGGGCAGTGGTTCCAACCCACCCCATAGTACTACTGGCAGGAACCCAGTCCTCTTCCCTAAATGCAAATGCCATGGCCCTCTCAGAGCTAGTGAGCTGGGTCTAGATACAACCTGCACCCTGCTGGGTAGGTCTTCCAGGAGGGATAAGGTTGTAAGAACCACTCACCAGTCCCTACTCGCAGAGTCAACGATACTCCTGTTCCTCAGTTGGTTCAAAAAAACACTGAAGATTTATATCAATCGAAGGGTTTCTGTTCCCATTCTCATGGGCCTTCCCAAATACCAGTGAAATGGAGGTAGTCATTACTCATCAAAAAACACTCACCAAGAAGGGCCAGACTCCCACACGTGGATTCACGGAGAGAGTGAGTGCCAAGGCCTACCTCCTCCTAACCTGCTCACCCATGGAGTCATTCCATGACAAAGGGACAGCAGTTCAGAGGCTGCCCGCACTGCCCCCACTGCTGAGGTTTAAGGAAATCGTGCACTGCCCCCACTGCAGAGGTTTAAGGAAATCGTCCCAGTATGTTTTACGTTGGAAGACCCTGAGATAAAGCCCATACTTCCGTCTGTATTTGTCCTCCCACAAAATGAAGTGATTGTCCATGAGACCGGCCTGTGTCTAATTCTGCAGGAAACAGTGTGCAGAGCGCCTCGAGCAGGCAGCCCACTGCTGACGACTTGCCAGAGGCCCTTCCCCGAGAGGCAAAGCTTTCTCCCAGGGAGTCCCCGCTTTCAGCCCCGTCAGCGTGCCCAGCGCCTGCACTCTGCAGGGCCCAGTTCTACCCTATTCCTCGAGCTGGTTTTCAGCGGCTGTGGGAAAAGTCACACACGATCGTGCCAAAGTGAACAAATGCTGCTCGACCTGGGGAAAAACAGCTGCTGCACATCCTGAAGTGCTGGGTCTTCCAAGGAAGCCTCGTCTAACCAGAGAAGCCATCACTCTCCTCCTCCAACAACTTCTGGTATATGAAATTGTCTTCTCGTGTTACCCCCTTTCCCCTGTTGTAAATCCACGCTGGCGAGCCCAGGGCTCTCCCTAGCTCTGTACACTGCCTGGCATGGTGCCATGCAGCTAAGTGTGCTGGAATACAGCACCGTCCACCAATAAGTCATTTTAACAAGCACTATGGAGCTCTCATAAGTGGCTTGAAAACATTTACATTTACCTCAAAATCACTTTAAAATAATTCACTCCATCACAGCCTCAGCCAGAGCCTGCGCCAGCCCTCCCACAGACTTTTACGGCCTCCCTAAACTCCCCTAATTCCAACTGACAGGGGCCACAGGGACACCGTTTATACAGCATTTTGGCTTCTCGCCCTGTGGCCCACAGCCATTGATGCAACAGCAATTTAATCAAGCCAGAATCTAGTAAGTTCAACTTGCCACTAGGATACTAAAAGCCGTTGTTTAAGGTAAGTGATCATGGTGATGACAAGAATCCTGGGTGTCTACGATCTCAGATTATCAAGTGACACCTTTACATTGATCTCATGTAACCCTCACAAGGACCCTGAGGCAGGGTTAACTTTACACCCCATTTACAGACAAGGAAATGACGGAAAGAACAGACAACCAGCCCCGAGGCCCAGTGCTGGCCTGTGAGGTGAGCCAATGGCCTGTCCTGAGCCCTCCCTCTGGCCACCCCTGGTCACTCACACCTCCCACCCCGCTGGGCGGGGGACAAGCACTATGGACTGGACAAAACTGCACAAGTCCATGAAACCGGATTACCCAGGACTAGGTACAGAAGGGGGCAGGAGAACAGGACTTGGCACAGAAGGGGGCAGGAGAACAGCACATACTTCTCTACCATGGTGCCAATACTTCTACAAGCTTCTTCCGCGGCTTCTCTGAATGCTGGCTCAGGGTGAGCGATTTTCACAAAATCAGCCTAATAAAGGGGAAAGACAAAACCAAAAGGGAATTTGATGAGAAGCTTTCTTCCAGGATCTGAGGGTGAAAATGAAAACCAGGTTTTAAGATGTGCCATTGGCTTGGCCTATGCATTTCCATTACTGACTTTTTCCTAAGCGAGAAAAGCAAAGCAGCTTCTTTCAGAACATTTAATTCTGTTATTCCTTGAAACCAAGTTTGTTTCATTCCAAAAAAAAAAAAACTTTTATTAACTTTATTTCAGAAAAGTTTTTCTCTTTCAAATATAAACACCAAGCAAATTCTTCCTTTTTTTTTTTTTTTTTGAGACAGAGTCGCCCGGGCTGGAGTGCAGCGGCACAATCTCAACTCACTGCAAGCTCCGCCTCTTGGGTTCACGCCATTCTTCTGCCTCAGCCTCCCATGTAGCTGTGACTACAGGTGCCCACCACCACGCCCTCTAGTTCTTTATTTCAAAAGAGCAGGCACTGGTTTCAAATATTCTACAACTTTCTGGCTAAAATTATTTGCAGTATGGTTCTCACATGTTAACTTATCTCCAGAAAACAACTCTTAGAGGCTTTAACTAACACATATAGTATAGTTTCAAAACCCATTTAACTACATTCTAGTCTTTGATTTAACTACATTCTAGTCTTTGTGCAGAAAACAAAGGCACAGTCTCTTTATAGTCCTTTTAAGAAAATATGAGTTCATAGTCTCCACGTAATACTGTATACAACTACTGCTGCTGCTACTGAAGTCAATAGAAATTAAAATGAGTGAAAATTCTTTTTTAAAAACATAAAATGATGTAAAACTAAATTTTCGTTTTCATGTCAAAAAGCAGATAAACTACGAAACACTACATATTTTCTTCATTTGCCAAGAAAATGTGTGACTATAACATGAAATAAAATCACCACAAGATAAAATTTCCTAATTTTATTATCAAATAGTTTTTAATGCCAAAACATTTAAGTCTATAGTTTGGTATATTTGTTGTAACAATTGGTAACGATAAAATAACATTAGTACCAAAGTAGCTGAAAAATGAGTTACATAAATTTACATTTTTTTTTGCAAATTACTAATCTACAGGTTGTGAATTTATAATCAATATTAAAATTCAAAACACTAGCATACATATTAAAAACTGATTTGTAATAGTGATGAGGAAAACAGTTCTGTTACATAAAAACTGTATTAAAAAAAGAAAACAAAATAAAATGACTACTTGGTGAAAAACAGTTTATAAAACGATTGTCTTATAACAGTACTAATCTTACTGGCAGGTAATATCTTAAAAATCGAAAACAGAGAAAGGTTCTTTTTAATCCAGATAATTACATATATAAATCACATAGTTTTTTTTTTTTTAAGTTTTCAAAATGAGAGATTATTATACATAAATATTAAAAATGTCAAAATAAGATACAGGGCAGAGAAGTTAAAATCTTTTAGTGAAGACCAAAAGAGAAAAAGGAGAAAAAAATCCTAGAATACTGATTAAGATGAAGACCAAGACAAAAAATACACAGTGAATTCTGGGATTTGTGACAGCCACGCCAATGGTCACCCCTCCGTATCACTGGGCAATAGTTAGATCCTCCCACAGATACCCGAATCCACAGATGCTCAAGTCTCTGATATAAAATGGTGTAGTACTTGCATATAACTGATACACAGTACATCCCATACGTCAAATCATCTCTAGATTACTTGTAATACCTAATGAATGTAAATAATATGTAAATAGCTGTTATACTGTATTGTTTTATGGAACAGTGACAAGAAAAAAAAGTCTGTACATGTTCAGTATGAATGCAAATTTTTTTTTCCCAAATATTTTTGATCGAAGGTAGGTTGACTCCACAGATCCCCCAATCTGGAGGATTGACTATACAGTGAAATTCACTGACACCGATTTTCCTTTTCTGATTTCAGTGACACAATTAGGTGAACAGGGTATGAAACCTTCTTTTGAGCAGTGCGTTTCCACAGCTCCCCCAACATTCAAAGACACATTTCCTATGCACATACTGGAGGCACAGAACAAAAACCCAGTACAAACAGAACTACCCAGAGCCTGCAACTTCACTCCAGAGAAAAACCCTTTACAATAAGATACTTTATCAGTTTTCTTAAGAAAGGGAAGCTTGTGGTAAACATATCTGAAAGGTGTTAATGCTCAAGTCAAGTGCGTGGGTGGAAGGAAATTTTCCAAAAAAGGAAAAAATAAAGATGGGGATGAGTTATGCTGGGTCAAAGAAGTCAGTCAAAAGGTATACAGGATTCCACTTAGGTGACATTCTAGAAAAGGCAAAACTATAGGGATAGAGAACAGATTAGCGGTTGCCAGAGGTTAGTGGGGAGGGGTGGGTGTGACTATAAAGGGAGACTTCTGTGGGTTGATGGAACAGCTTTGTATCCTGAGTGTGGTGAGGGTTGCACAAATTTATACAAGTTAAAATTCACAGAACTGTACCATCCTCCAAAAGAAGTCAATTTTAAAAACAAGTACATAATTTTTTTAAAAGATGGAGAGGCTAACAAACTTTGCGACCTTTCCAGGTAAGGGTTCATGAGACCTGAGCAGCCAGCCAGCCCTGAAACAGTTGGAACAGGAGGAAGAAGAGCTTGACAGATATCCTGCCTGGTCTGGCAGCCCAGCCGCACCACACGCTGGCCAGGTGACAGCGGGCACATCCCTTCATCACCCAGTGCCTTTCTTCCCTCTTGTGAAAATGGAGCTATGCTGAGAAGGTTACTTCAGCTCATCCAAAGAAAGCTTCTTCAGCTAACTAGGTTGTAGAAAGGGCCTCCAGCCTAGTTAAATCTAAAACAAGTTAATGCCAGAATATAAACTCCATGAAGTAAGAGATTGTGCTGTTTCATTCCTGCACGTATACCTCGTGCCCAGACAGCATCTGGCACACAGTTGGTGCTCAACATTGACTGAATGTGAGGGAAAAACCTATGTAGTTCAATACCATGTAGACAGGATCATAAATGATCACTATTTAAATTGTGTGTGCTGCTTTCCTTGACAAGAGTCACCAACAGTCGGCTCCTTCAGGCTGATAGAAAATCCCGCTTCCTGGAAATGAGTACATGGAAGAGATATCTGCACTTCCATATTTGTTGCAGCTCTGTTCACAACATCCAAGATTTGGAAGCAACCCAAGTGTCCACGAACAGACGACTGGATAAAGAAAATGTGGTACTCACACACAGTGGAGTGCTATTCAGCCATAAAAAAGAATGATATTATATCATTTGCAACAACATGGATGGTCATTATGTTAAGTGGAATAAGTCAGGCACAGAAAGACAAACATTACATGTTCTCACTCATTTGTGGGACGTAAAAATACATACAATTGACTCATGGAAATAGAGTAGAAGGAGGGTTACCAGAGGCTGGGGAGGGTAGCAGGGTGGTGTGGGGGAGGTGGGAATGGTTAATGGGTACAAAAAAACAGGAAGAATGAGTAAGACCTGCTATTTGATAGCACAACAGGGTGACTACACGCAATAATAATTGTAGATTCAAAAATAACTAAAAGAGTATAATTGGACTGTTTGTAACACAAAGGATAAATGCTTGAGGGGATGGAGACCCCGTTTTCCTGGATGTGATCACTGTGCACTGCATGTCCCTATCAAAACATCTGGTGTACCTCATGAATATATACATGAGGTATATTAAAATTAAACATGAAAAATGAAAAAAGAAAAAGAAAATTTTGCTATCTCAGCAATAGATTTCCTAGTTAGTGACGAGATCTAGGTATACACTTCTATTTCAACTTTAAAATGTTAAAAAAAAAAAAAAAAGGCTTTACAATCATTTTGATGTTAAAACTTGTTTTTTAATCAAAAAAAAAGCATTCCTGAAAAGGTTTATTAAAACTGGTTCTCACACCTCTTAGGAAAAAGAAGTGGCTCACACTTATAATCCCAGCACTTTGGGAGGCTGAGGCAGTAGGTTCACTTGAGGCTAGGAGTTCAAGACCAGCCCGGGGAACACAGGGAGACCCTGTCTCTATTACAGCAAAAAAAAGAAAAAGAGAGATTTTGTTGTAAACGTACACATAAAGTGTTTTTAGAATTTGGGGAGAAGCGTTTATAAATGAAGAACCTCTGTCAAATGAATATATATGTGAATATATATTACCCAAATATAGCAAATATTTGCTATATTAGTAATCATTCATTATATTACATGTATATTTTATTAAATATACATATTAAAGTACAAGTTCTAAATATCACCTTTTCTGATAACATTTTCCCCATTCCTAATGACATATTTCATCATAAAAAATCATACCTAATGGATCTCAAACAGTTTCAGACATTTTTAACTTTAAAATCTAGTATTAATAGTAAACAACGAAGGATAAATTTCACTTAAATTTTAGCAGGTTGAAAGAGAGGTAGCTTCAAGTCTAAGGCAAAGCATCTTACCAAGTCGGCCACTCTGCACAAGGAATCCGAGAGCTCATCGAAGATCAGCACGGTCTGGGGCCCAGGTGGGGTGGAACACGCACGGTCCACAAGCCATTCTGTCTTTCTCAAGGCTTTTTCTTGTGCAATATGAAATCCTTCTGGGGCACTGAGCTCAGGAACTCCAAAAAGACCCTTAGAACCAAAGAATACGTCTGATTTATAACCAAAATTTAAAACTGTGCTTTTTTGATATTTACTAAAATTACTTTTATCACAAAGGAAATCTTGGCTTTCATTGGGGTATCATGTTATACCTGTGATCACGGATACTATTATCATACTCCCCATATCACTCTACATAAATTACACTAAAAATGTTTCCAGAACATAATTTTTCTTCAATTTTTAACCATTTTCTAAAAAAAAAAAAAATGATATGGGTTTAAAATCCAGCTCTGTCACTTCTACAGAACCTAAGAGTGGCTGCAAGAATTAAATGAGATAATATATGTAAATATATATATGTGTGTGTGTATATATATATAGCAGTGTTTAGCACATAGCATTTGATAGATAGATGTTAGCCATAATTATTATTAGTTTATAACCCTGGTCATGTTATTTCTCCTCCTAGGCCTCAAATTTTTTCATCATGTACAATGGGAACGGCAACACATATCTTACAGCATGGATACACATACTAAGGATATGTAAAGTACTAAAAGCAGTACCTGACAGAGTAAGATCTCAGTACACAGTACCAATTATTCTACAACTATCAAAGAGAGAGGATGAGTTGACCACGAAGCAATAGATATTTTAGAAAAATTTAATGAACATATTAAAATCATAGGCTGAAACTGGGAGCAAATTTTATACGTTCCAAAGACATTTCAATATCTTGATAAAAACAAAAATCACTGATCTAATGGGAATGACCACTCTCTTGTTACCTATTCAATCACACTTGTTAGCATTCTCAGGAAGGCAGAGAAAAAAAGCATTTAATATGCACCTACCGCATACTATGAAGTGCACCTGCTACTTTACACAGGTTCTCATTTCAATGACACAATCCTACAGAAGAGAGTATCATTCTTTTATAGATCAGGACACATGCTTTAAGAGGTTAGAAAAGGCGGGTGGATCACGAGGTCAGGAGATCGAGATCATCCTGGCTAACACGGTGAAACCCTGTCTCTACTAAAAATACAAAAACATTAGCCGGGCGTGGCGGCGTGCACCCTTAGTCCCAGCTGCTGGGGAGGCTGAGACAGCAGAATGGCGTGAACCTGGGAGGCGGAGCTTGCAGTGAGCCAAGATCGCGGCACTGCACTCCAGCCTGGGTGACAGAGCAAGACTCCGTCTCAAAAAAAAAAAAAAAAAAAAAAAAGAGGTTAGAAAAAACTTCTTTGAGGTCACAAATTAATACTGGCAAAGCCAGAACTCAAACCCGCTCTGTACATCTGTAAAGCCCACACTTTTCCATACTTCTCTATTACAATTACAATCTCAATTACAATCTGTTTGAAAGTCTTCTCTCCTGAAAAGGTGAGCTTCCAGACCCAAGAGCCCTGCCCTTCATTTCTTTAGCCAGCTATCCAACAGAACGTCTAATGCATGGGGGAACTCAATGAAGGAAACAAATGACCACAGCAGAGGCTGGGCTTTGTTCATTAACTTTGCAGGTGTTTACCATACAGACTTTCAGAAATAGCAGCAGCTACACCTTCAGGCCTGATGAGGCCTACTGTTTCTACAACCAGGAATGGATGAAGTTAAGCTATTAATATCTCTTCAAAATATATTACAAGTTAAAAAAATAAAAGAGAGTCAGTGGGGGACAAAGGAGAATCAGGACTAAAAACAAATGTTATCTTTATATTGATTTAATTTGATTCAAGCGCAGACTAATTCCACTTCCCAGTACAACCTGCCCGTATTGCCGTATCGCCCTCGGGAATTCTAACTCTCGGATTACCAGTGACCTTCGTAATGCTAAAAAACTGAATAAACCTTTTTTTTCAAGGCAAAAACCAATTCACAAATTTGAAAATCTGCTATCGGTGCTGAGTATCAAGATACAAAAGGGAAAAATAAAAGCTAAAATTAGTTACATCTCATTTACCCAAAATCAGGCTTCCCCTCACGTCTTTCTCCTCAGCGCCTACAAGCAGTTCTCACACCATGTTAATACCAACATCGCATACTCTTAAGGAAGGTGGTGTAGCAAATTTCACACAAAATAATTTTAAAATAGACAAAGCTGATAATGGACCAGAATCATACACCTTAGCTCAGTGCAACAATACCCTAGACTCCTCTTTATAAGGCAATACACTATAATGAAATTTTAAAAGGCAAAAATAAAAGTAATCCTTAACCTAAAACGGACAAAATGTACAAACTCCAAGTAGAACAGGCATCAGAGGTCCTTTGCAACCTCGCCTCCTTCTCACCTTCCACTACACAATGCACTCTAGTGACTTCCTGGGGCCAACCTCGCCTTCTTCCCACCTTCCACTACACAATGCACTCTAGTGACTTCCTGGGGCCAACCTCGCCTTCTTCTCACCTTCCACTAGACAATGCACTCTAGTGACTTACTGGGGTAAGAAATCCAAGGGACCAATTCCATGGCAACTATGGGAAGCCAGACTCGTCTCAACAGGGTTTTGTGTTTTAAAACAAGCAAGCCCAAAGCTTTGAAATAAATTAATAGGTGATGGAATTTCATGTATCAATGAAATTACCGTTACTCGACTACAGGCAGCCGTGTCCCTGCAAAAAGACCATGCGATACCGCCTGTGAAGGCGCAGGGATAGGCCTCCTAAGGCAGGACTGCAGCCCTGGAACTAAAGGGCTTTAGCGGGTGTGCGGGTGCATGTATGCAGAGGGCGGGTCCTGGCAGGCCGAATTCACCGCCACTGCCAGGACGAACTATTCAGATTCACGTGGAGCAAGTGGCTCATGCAGAGGCAGTTCCCGGACCCGACACTCTGGGGAGGAGACCACTAAGCCCGGCCCCTCAAAGCAGAGGTGACCTTGCCCTTATCGAGAGGGCACACAAGACGCCACTGTACGAGGTGGGTTCGCTGCCCGCCTCCTCCCAGGCCCAAACAATCTGGCCCTGAGTGTCGCTGGCCGCGCGAACCAGAGATCGGCTTAGCTCGCGGACTGAGGGGAGCTCCTCCTGCGCCGCTCACCCGGCGCTCGCCGAACAGGTCCAAGCGGCTGCCCTGGGGCTTGACATTGAAGGCGGCGCCCACGGGAGACCAGCTGGTGCTGACCCTTCGGGCCCGGATCCCGGCTTGGAGGCGTCCCTGGCCCGCCCACCGGGGCGGCAGAGCTGCTGCTCTGGCTCCGAAGCCGCCCAGCCTTCCGACGCACAGCATTCTATCCCCGGATCAGTCCCTTCCTCCAACGCGAGACCCCTGCCCTGGTGCTTTAGCCCGGAGCGCGGGCTCCGCGTTTCCAAGGCAGCGGCCCACGCCGCCCCACGTGACGGCTCCGCTTCCGGGTCTGGGCGTGGCCTCAGGACGTGGGCACGTTGACGTCCAGAGAGCAAGAGCGTCGCTGCCCTTCCTTCTCCGCCGCCGTCGCGGTTTACCGCCCCCCGTGTCCAGAGTGAGGAAAGGCTAGGGTTGCGCTTCCCTCCCAAGTGACTAGGGGCTGGGCGCGGGCAAAATCATGGCATATTCGAATTCTAGCGGACATTAGATATTTTTTGAGAGATGGTAGGTACTTGAGTAAACGAGAAATGCCCGCCATAGGCCTGAAGGAGAAGTTTCCCTTTTAACCAACTCTCTTGGTAAATTCATCCTGCACTTCTCTGTTTGGTGTCTCTGTCCAGTAACTTTTTACTCTTGCATAGCTCATTTAAAAATTTTAGATGGGAAACAGTGAAAGCAGTCTAATGGGATTTTCCCTGCAGGGTTTCAGAATTGTCTGGGATCCGTGATCCCTTTTTTCCTTCCCCTTTCTCTCCTTTGGGATGGACCGTCTACCCTATGCCGGCGCCCGCCCCGCACCACTGTCTTTTAAACGTGGATTAACTTTTCTGGTTTCGCAGGATCACACATGGAGAGAAATTCTGCCACAGGATGAATCACCCAGGAGGTCTCCTCTGTAGCTTATTTAATGACGTACATGGTGAGAGGAGTTGATGCGGAAAGTGCTAAGACTTTTGGAAATGTTGAGATGGGGCGAAAATGCATTTCGCACATGGGAAGGAGATCGACTTTGGGAATCAGAGGGCAGATTGGGTTGAACTGTGTCTCCCAAAACAGATGCTGAAGTCCTAACCCTCGGTACCTGTAATGTGACCTTATTTGAACATAGGGAGTTTGCAGAGATGATTAAGATGGGTCATACTAGATTAGGGAAGCTGTCCTTGTAAGAAGAGGAAAATGTGGCTGATACAGGAGGAGGAGGACGGCCACCTGAAGGTGGAGGCGGGTACTGGAGTGATGCTGCCACCAGCTGCCAGGAGCTGGAAGCAGCAAGGCCGGATCCTCCTGCAGCCCCTTTGGAGGGAGCAAGGCCCTGCTGCTACGGTGATCTCAAACTTCCAGCCTACAGAACTGAGAAAGTCCATTTCTGTTGTTTAAAGACTCTCGCTTTGCGTACTTTATTAGGGCAATCCTAGAAAACAAATAGAGATCCACGTCTGGCAAATAATGATCAAACAATGATTTGTTGGGTGGAATGGTGATTAAAACCTAGGTTAGAAAATGAGCAAAGTGGGAGGCAGAGCACCAGGACAAATAGCTAATGCACGCAGGGTTTAATACCTAGGTGACAGGTTGATAGAGGCAGCAAACCACCACAGCACATGTTTACTATGTAACAAACCTGCATGTTCTGCATATGTATCCCAGAACTTAAAAATAATTTGTTAAAAAAAGACAAAATGAGCAGTGTCTACAGCTTTCTGGAGTGTGACAGCATCACCAACTTAAAGCTGTTACTAGTACTGAATGGAATAAAGATTTCCCTTTTCTTTCCCCTTACTGTCCTCAGAAACACAGATGAGGGATACATCTTCACATGACTCCTCAGAGCACTCAAATGATATCAAAACACTCTTCCCACAAGAAACACACAGGCAGAGGATTCTTCAGATAATAGGAATAAGAAATGTGAAATAAATTACAATAAATCATGCAGCTGTTTTCAATATTTACTCCTGGATAGTAAGTTACACAGAATCAGTTTTGGGAATAACTTTTCCATTTTCACCTTTTTATGATTATTGTAATAATTGGAGGAATTAGTGAAGTAAAACCATCTGAAAAAGTTCGTCACCAAGCTGATTCTGATGGATGGTGTGGCTGATTTATAAACTCTCCTCTGTCACGGGCTGCTGAACAGAAGGAACCCTGTGAAAGTTGTGTCATCATCCTCATCAGCAAACAAGCCATTGAACCTCTCTCCTCCTGTCACCTGCAGCCACACCTCATCCCCGAGCTTCAGCTGCAGGACAATGCCGCCAGAGGCCTGGTCCTCAGAGCTCATGTAAGCGTCTTTGGTGTGCAGTATTTTTACTCCATTTTTGACTAAAGACACCTGAATATTCCTGGAGAAAACAGTGATGTGGTAGGTGAAGTAATAGACCCCAGCAATGTGGCATGTGAATTTCCCCGTTGCTATATCATAATGGTTGAATTCGTTATACAGGATCTTATCAAATTTAATGGGCACATCTGAAGAAGGAAACTTGCTCAGCACCGTGAGCCCCACAGTGAAAGCACTTTTTGGCAAGACTAGCGTCTCACCAATTTTCCCTTTCTCTCCTCGATCTCCTTTCCAGCCTCTTATTCCCCGGACTCCTGGCTCACCCTGGGGCCCCACGGGTCCAGCTTCTCCCTTGGGACCAGGCTTTCCAATAGGGCCCATGGAACCTGGTAAACCAGTTGGGCCCAAAGGCCCAATGTTGCCCCTTGGCCCATCAGGACCAGTGGGACCCACGTCACCCTTATTCCCCTTCTGCCCCTGAGGCCCAGTCTCTCCTCGGAGGCCTTTCTCTCCCATGGGCCCTGCAAGCCCCTTGGGGCCATGTTTTCCTGGGGATCCTCTTGAGCCTTGATCACCTTTGATGCCTTTTGCTTCAACTTTTCCATCTGCTTCTAAATAGAGAAAGAGCAAACAAAGAGATGGTTTGTGAAAGATTCCCTTGTGAACAACTTTGGTTTTTCTATAATTGAGCTCAGAAATGAAACAAAGTAGTGTACACGTTCAGTATACACCCAGAGGTTAAAATTCAATTACTCCATCTGGGTGCAGTGGTCTCCTAGCACCTTCAGAGACCACGGCAGGAGGACTGCCTGAGGCCAAGAGTTCAAGACCAACCCAGCCAACATAGCAATACCCTAACTCTTAAAAAAAAAAAAAAAAAAAAACATAAAAATAAGAAAATAAAATTCAATTACTCCAGCCCAGCTCAGTGACTCACGCCTGTAATCCTAGTACTTTGGGAGGCCAAGGTGGGCAGGCTGCTTGAGTCCAGGAATTCAAGATCAGCCTAGGCAACATGGCAAAACCTCACGTCTGCAAAAAATACAAAAATTAGCCAGGCGCGGTGGCACACAACTGTAGTCCCAGCTACTCGGGAGGCTGAGGTGGGAGGATCACTTGAGCCCAGGAGGTTGAGGCTGCAGTGAGCCGTGATCAAACCACTGCACTCCAGCCTGGGCAACAGAGTGAGACCCTGTCTCAAAAAATAAAATAAAATAAATGAAAGTCAGTTACTCCAATTACACAAGTGTGTGCACATGGACGCACACACACACATCTCAACAGACCTTTTGACTATTGTCTACTAAGTTAGTGTCAGGGTTCATGTTAGAAGTTACAACCCTATCATCTAAGTCTAACATGCTGGCTGTGAAATAATGTCAATCCATACAGAAAGCACTCTGCAGAGCAGAGACAGGCGGATTAACTGACACTCAACCCTAGTCATGTGACATCCTCTAAAAAGCCCCTCCCTGGAGTGAACATAAAATAAAGCCTGCATCGAGGCATTCATTGCCCTCTCCTGCCCAACCCCAGCCCCAACCTATCCATCCCACCAGCAGTTCATCATCCACAGAGACCTTGCTGCTTCCTTGCACCCCCACCCATCCCAAAGAGCCGTGGTTGCAAGTGTGGACTCTGAGGTTAAATGCCGGGTCTCCATTCTGTCCCCACCACATATGCACACAGGACATCAGACAAGCTAGTGAGCCCCGTGCCTCTGTTCCCTCACCTACGGAACCGGGGTGATAAAACAGCCTAGTGTCTGGGGATGTTGCATTCGGTGAGTCAGCACATGAAAAAAGCACAGAGTGAAGATGACACGAGTTTGCCGCTGTGACTACATCCCGGGGATCCATCAGGGACCAGTTCTAGTGCCACCTCCTCCATGCAGTGCTGCCGGATGCACCAAGTCAAAAACTCAGTCTCACTCCTCAGTGCTCATCCACTGCAAGGTTCAAGGTTCAGCAAACTACAGCCATAGGCCAAATTCAGCCTCCCTCCCACAAGCTAAACAAACACGGTTCACATTTTTTTTTGTTTTTCTGGTTTTTGTTTGCTTGTGACAGGGTCACCCGCTCTGTTACCCAGGCTAGGTGCAGTCATGAGATCATGGCTTACGGCAGCCTCAACCTCCCAGGCTCAAGCGATCCTCCTACCTCAGCCCCCGAGTAGCTGGGACTACCGGCACGTGCCACCATGTCCGGCTAATTTTTTTTATTTGTATAGACAAAGTCTCAATATGTTGCCCAGGGTGGTCTGGAACTCCTAGGTTCAAGCGATTCTCCTACCTGGGCCTGTGGGATTACAGGTATGAGCCATGGTGCTTGGCCATGGTTTGCATGTTTAAATGGTCACAAATAATATTCCACAATACATGGAAACCATGGGAAATGCCCATTTCACTTTTCACACATATGGCGTCACTGGAACACACCACACTTATTTATGGAGCATCTACAGCTTCTTTTCACTACAAGTGGAAGTTGAGTAGTGCTGACAGATCCGTATGGCCTGCGGAGTTGAGGATATTTCCTACCCAGCCCTCTGCAAAGCCTGCCAATCCCTGTAGAATCCTCCCTCTGGAGAGTAAGAACTGTGCTGCCTTTATTGTAAGATTATAATCAGCATGGAGGACTTGTCCATGGCAAACACTTAATAGTTATTGTTAAATACTCGACAGCTCAGAATTAGAGCACCATAAATAGGAACTTCTAACCTCGTTCTCCCTTCTCTCCACTTGTCCCATCCTTCCCCGGGCTGCATAGAAAAGCACAGAGTGAAGATGACACAAGTTTGCCGCTGTGACTACGTCCTGACCCATCAGGGACCAGTTCTAGTGCCACCTCCTCCATGCAGTGCTGCCGGATGCACCAAGTCAAAAACTCAGTCTCACTCCTCAGTGCTCATCCACTCACAAGGTTCAAGGTTCAGCAAACTACAGCCATAGGCCAAATTCAGCCTCCCTCCCACAAGCTAAACAAACACGGTTCACATTTTTTTTTTTGTTTTTCTTGGTTTTTAGCTTGCTTGTGACAGGGTCACCCGCTCTGTTACCCTCCAGGCTAGGTGCAGTGTCATGAGGATCATGGGGCTTATGGCAGCCTCAACCTCTCCCAGGCCCAAGCGATCCTCCCACCTCAGCCCCGAGTAGCTGGGACTACCGGCACGGCTGCCATGTCCGGCTAATTTTTTTTTATTTGTATAGAAGCAGTCTCAATATGTTGCCCAGGGTGGGGTCTGGAACTCCTAGGTTCAAGCGATTCTCCTACCTTGGCCTCCAAAGGGATTACAGGTATGAGCCATGGTGCTTGGCCATGGTTTGCATGTTTAAATGGTCACAAATAATATTCCACACACATGGAAACCATGGGAAATGCCTGCCTTCCATTTCACACACATATGGCGTCACTGGAACACACCACACTTATTTATGGAGCATCTACAGCTTCTTTTCACTACAAGTGGAAGTTGAGTAGTGCTGGCAGAGATCCAGAGTGTGGCCTGGGCGGAGTTGAGGATATTTCCCACCAGCCTCTGCAAAGCTCAATCCTCGGGAATCCTCCTCTGGAGAGCAAGAACTGTGCTGCCTTTATTGTAAGATTATATAACTGTATGAGTGATATCAACTGTGGCAAACAATTTAATAGTTATTGTTAAATACTGACAGCTCAGAATTAGAGCAATTACAAATAGGAACTTCTAACCTCAAGCTCTCCCTTCTCTTCCACTTGTCCCATCCTTCCCGGCTGCTGGGACGCCCTGGCTCTCTTAGGGAAAGAAGAAAACAGGCATGAGTTGAAATTCGTTTCTGATTTTCGGGTTACTGGTCTCCACCAGCCATATGTGTTGGAGAGTCTGGGAGTAATTCCGCATCAGTGAGGGGGTGCTCTGTCCTCCACACGAGTGCAGGTGGAAAGAGGCAGGCATAAGCGGGCATCTGGGCGTGCTGGAGCTGGGGATGAGTGATCTAAGAAAGAATTGAGTACTCTCAAGCGTCCATTCCCAGGACGTGCTTGGGGAGCGCACAGCAAGACAGGATGAGGAGGGAGTGTGTGCAATGGGGACTGACTGTCACAACTGATTGTGTTCCTCTCCTGTGACAAGGACTTGGGACATGGTCTGAATGTTGGAGGTGCGAGGTTTCCTCACTCTGTTTCTCTTCCATTACTCTTGAGGAGAGTAGAACGGAAGATTTACTAGCCTCCTATGAAAACACAGATGACACTGGTTATGTGACACTATTCCAAGATAGAAAGAGAGTTCTGGAAAATCTTCCAGTGCCTTAGACTGTGTGGGAAATGCACAACTGCTAGCAGAGAACATCAGGGTGAGCGGGGCTCTGCTGACCACACTCAAGTCCTTGTGCTCAGAACAGGCCCCCGAGCCCCAGGTCGACGTGCTGTCCGTCAGCAGGTTGAAGATGGCTCTGGCCATGGCAGTAGAGTGCTCACTGGGCCAAGTGGCTCACTGTGATTCTGGCTTCTCACAAAGCAGCAGAGACTCCCATACTTCAGTCCCACTGGACCCACACTGAGGGGCTAGCAGGAGCAGGCTGGGCCGGTTTGCAGGTCTGCAGACAGGACTGACACAGGCAGACTTATTTCTATCACAGTGTCTGTTCTCCTTGGGAGATCAGCACCTGAGTGGGTAGCCTTGGTCATGTGGGGCTCTGAATGGAGGGGGCCTTCCCACATTTGCCCTTCCTGCGCTCTCCTCCTCCCCCCTCTCTCCTCCACTGGTTGCCCCCGTGTCTTCCTCTCTCCTTCCCTCTTTTTGTTTCCCTGCTTGGCTCTCATTTCTCCCATTCTCTAGAGCAGTGACCTCAGAGCTTTCATGATCATACAACCACAACTCACAAAGCATGAACACAGACCCCAATCAGTAGACATTTATGTGTTCCAAAATCATGCAAATAGTAGTATATGAAAAATACGTTTGCAGAAAACATACACAAAATACACTTTTAAGATGATAAGATAAAAATGAATTTTTAGTGTGAGCAATGTGAATGAATATCCTTCTAAGAAATAATATATATTATATATAATACCTATGAACTACAGAAAAATAGATACAAATGATTATTGTAAGAAGTATGTGAAACTTGAAAGAATGGACATTGCTGAGCAAAGAGGAGAGAAATTCAAATAGGGAAGAGGTGGGAGAAATTTGGTTTGAATATAGGAGTGTTTGTCTAGTCCTCTGTATTTTATCTACCATCATATTTATCTCCTTTGTGTGTAATATTTTATAACAAAAATAAAAAAATGAAAATCCTACATATTCAGAAATACAATACACACACACACCCCACTGTGGTCCCGGTGTGAGGGCAGAAGACCTGATTTCATTAAGGGTAAGGTTTTGCTATTCATTTGACTGGGCTGTTCGCTACAGGCCTGGGAGAAAGCCAGTAGAGCTGGATGGAGCTGTGGAGAGACTTGGAGTGAGCTGGAGATGTGAGCCAGGAGAAGACACCTCACAGAGCACATGTGCAGGATAGTGGTTCCAAAGAAATAAAGTGGCTTCCTGGGGACTCTTGGCTTCATCCAGCCCATTCAAAAAACCATCAGGCCACCAAATGCCATAAGCGGAGACATGTTAGAAACACAAACTTGTCTTTAAAAAGGTCCATAGAAGTTTTGACATTTTCTTTGTTATGCCACTGAACTGTGCCCTCAACCCAGATGGATCATTCTGCATAAATCTTAGATATGTGACCATACCGTCAAGACCAGTGCTCAAGAATGGTACCCCATTCAGAAACTAAGTCTATTGGTTGTTGTTATGGAAACCACTCAGACTTCTCGGCTTTGGCAAATCTCCCTCCCAGACGCTGGATCCTGTCCCCAGATCCCCAGACCCTGTGACAGGGTCCCAACCTAGGTCATAGATTCATAAGCAGCAGCTGTATGTGTCATCTGTCACACTGCATCTCCTACTTCATGGCACGATGCAGTATTAACTCTCACGTGCACTGCAGCTGGCTGCTTGCTGCCAAGTAATTCACAATCAGATCTCTCTGTCAGTCTTTCGTTGCCAAAAATCCATCATACCTTTCGCCTGAGGTGGGAGGATCCATGACATCGTATACTACTGAAAATGTTCTGCGGTGTCAGAGATGAGAGAACCCGGGAGGGTAGAGGTCATGGCGATCTAACCCTGTGCTCTCCACCAGCACCTGGCACAGAGTCTGGCATGGAGCAGACCCCGTGAGTGTTGCTGGGCAGATGGGTGGATGGATGAATGGGGTCAGGCCCCAGCGAGTGTTGCTGGGTGGATGGGTGGGTGGATGGATGGGGTGTGAGTGGGTAGGTGGAAAATCACACAGATGATGAGTGAATGAGATGAAAAGAATGAAGAGAGAAGTTGAAAGGCAGCCAAAGCCACTAGGTGAGTACCTGCATCCCCTTTGTCACCCTTCGCTCCGTCTCGTCCATCTCTTCCAGGCAGACCGTTGTGACCGGGGTTCCCAGGGATGCCAGGGTGCCTTGTGAGTCTTGTGAGCTTATGTTCCCTGTGCAGATTCCAATGGCAAGCAGAAACCACCAGATTCTCATGGTTCAGATGACAGACTCTGAACTGAAAGAGGGAAACAGAAACCCAAAGGAGAAACCTTTGTTGCTGAGGCCCAAGACACAGCCTCTGTTCTGTACAGTGGGAAATGGGTGAGCTGTCCCCTGCCCCAGATCCACACCTGGACAGACTTGGACAGAAAGCTCAGGGCAGGGGAGCAAGCTGGTTGTAACCAGAATGACATTATCCTTGGAAGGTAACACTTGTGACTGGAACCAGTCTTCAAGGTGAATGGGCAATAAAAAAAAGCCAAGTTTAAGGTCAGGATACTCTTCCATTTATCATTTCACTTTGAAGAAACCACTTTTCTGAACCAGAGACCAATACTTACTTATCTCACAGGACTGTTGTAAAGATCAAATTTTATCACAATATGCATAAAGGCACATTATAAATAGTGAAGCAAACATAGCATTACCATCTGATCCAGCAATTCCACTGCTGTGCATCTACACAAAGTCATTGAAAGCAAGGACTGGAACAGATCTCCATGTTCATAGTCGCATTGTTTTCCATAGCAACCCAAGGGTCCATCAGTGGATAAACAGATACATGCAATGTGGTAGGTCCATACAATGGAATATTCTTCAGCCTTAGAAAGAAAAGAAATTCTGACACGTTACAACATAAAAGGACCTCGAGAACATTATGCTAAGTGAAACCAGCTAGTCACAAACAGACAGACCCGGTTAACTTCAGTCATAAGAGATTCCTAGAGCTGTCAAACTCATAGAAAGAAAAAGTAGGATGGTGGTTGCCAGGGGTGAGGAGAGAAGGAAGTGGGAGTTGTCTGATGGGTACAGAGTTCCTGTTTGGGAAGATTCTAAGAGTTCCTGTTTGGGAAGATTCTAAGAGTTCCTGTTCGGGAAGATTCTAAGAGTTCCTGATTTCACACAAAATAATTTTAAAATAGACAAAGCTGATAATGGACCAGAATCATACACCTTAGCTCAGTGCAACAATACCCTAGACTCCTCTTTATAAGGCAATACACTATAATGAAATTTTAAAAGGCAAAAATAAAAGTAATCCTTAACCTAAAACGGACAAAATGTACAAACTCCAAGTAGAATAGGCATCAGGCAAGTCCTTTCCAACCTCGCCTCCTTCTCACCTTCCACTACACAATGCACTCTAGTGACTTCCTGGGCCAACCTCATTTCTTTTCTCACCTTCCACTAGACAATGCACTCTAGTGACTTCCTGGGGTAAGAAATCCAAGGACCAATTCCATGGCAACTATGGGAAGCCAGACTCACCTTAACAGGGTTTTGTGTTTTAAAACAAGCAAGCCCAAAGCTTTGAAATAAATTAATAGGTGATGGAATTTCATGTGGTCAATGAAATTACCGTTACTCGACTAAGCACAGCCGCAGTCCTCGCAGAAAGGCTATGGCGGATCGCTCGTGGAAGGCGCAGGATAGGGCTTCTAAGGCAGGACTGCAGCCCTGGAACTAAAGGGCTTTAGCGGGTGTGCGGGTGCATGTATGCAGAGGGCGGGTCCTGGCAGGCCGAATTCACCGCCACCGCCAGGACGAACTATTCAGATTCAGCCGTGGAGCAAGTGGTCACATGCAGAGCAGTCTCGACCTGACACTCTGGGGAGGAGACCACTAAGCCCGGCCCCCAAAGCAGAGTGTGACCTTGCCCCCATCGAGAGGGCACACAAGACGCCACTGTACGAGGTGGGTTCGCTGCCCGCCTCCTCCCAGGCCCAAACAATCTGGCCCTGAGTGTCGCTGGGCGCGCGGACCAGAGATCGGCTTAGCTCGCGGACTGAGGGGGAGTTCCTCCTGGGTGCCGCTCACCCGGCGCTCGCCGAACAGGTCCGGGCGGCTGTTCTGGGCTTGACATTGAAGGCGGCGCCCACGGAGACCAGTTGCGCTGACCTTCGCCCGGATCCCGGCTTGAGTGCTTCTGGCCCGCCCACCGGGGCGGCAGAGCTGCTGCTCTGGCTCCGAAGCCGCCCAGCCTTCCGACGCAGTCAGCACTTTATCCCCGGATCAGTCCCTTCCTCCAACGCGAGACCGCCCTGGTGTTGCCCGGAGCGCGGGCTCCGCGTTTCCAAGGCAGCGGCCCACGCCGCCCCACGTGACGGCTCCGCTTCCGGGTTCGGGCGTGGCCTCAGGACGTAAGTACGTTGACGTCCAGAGAGCAAGAGCGTCGCTGCCCTTCCTTCTCCGCCGCCGTCGCGGTTTACCGCCCCCGTGTCCAGAGTGAGGAAAGGTTGGGGTTGCGCTTCCTCCTGCGACTAGGGGCTGGGCGCGGGCAAAACGGCCACATATTCGAATTCCTAGCGGACATTAGATATTTTTAGAGTTGTAAATTTCTTGAGTAAACGAAATGCCCGCCATAGGCCTGAAGGAGAAGTTTCCCTTTAACCAACTCTTCTTGGTAAATTCATCCTGCACTTCGTTTGGTGTCTCTGTCCAGTAACTTTTTGCAATACTTATAGCTATTTAAAAATTTTAGATGGGAAACAGTGAAAGCAGTCTAATGGGATTTTCCCTGCAGGGTTTCAGAATTGTCTGGGATCCGTGATCCCTTTTTTCCTTCCCCTTCTCTCCTTTGGGATGGACCGTCTAATTATGCCGGCGCTTCCGCCTGCACCACTGTCTTTTAAACGTGGATTAACTTTTCTGGTTTCGCAGGATCACACATGGAGAGAATTCTGCCACAGAGAATCACTCCAGGAGGTTCCTCGTGTGTAGCTTATTTAATGACGTACATGGTGAGAGGAGTTGATGCGGAAAGTGCTAAGACTTTTGGAAATGTTGAGATGGGGCGAAAATGCATTTCGCACATGGGAAGGAGATCGACTTTGGGAATCAGAGGGCAGATTGGGTTGAACTGTGGCCTCCGCAAAACAGATGCTGAAGCTCAACCTCGGTACCTGTAATGTGACCTTATTTGAACATAGGGAGTTTGCAGAGATGATTAAGATGGGTATTTCATACTGATTAGGAAGCTGTCCTTGTAAGAAGAGAAAACAAGGTTAGTAGGAGGGAGAGGGATGGCCACCTGAAGGTGGGAGGTGGGGACTGGAGTGATGCTGCCACCAGCTGCCAGGAGCTGGAAGCAGCAAGGCCGGATCCTCCTGCAGCCCCTTTGGAGGAGCAAGGCCCTGCTGCTACAGTGATCTCAAACTTCCAGCCTAGAACTTAGAGAAAGTCCATTTCTGTTGTTTAAAGACTCTCGCTTATGACTTTATTAGGCAACTGTACAACAGAGATCCACGTCTGGCAACAATGATCAAACAATGATTTGTTGGGTGGAATGGTGATTAAAAACCTAGGTTAGAAATAGAGCAAAGTGGGGAGGCAGAGCACCAGGACAAATAGCTAATGCACGCAGGGTTTAATACCTAGGTGACAGGTTGATAGAGGCAGCAAACCACCACAGCACATGTTTACTATGTAACAAACCTGCATGTTCTGCATATGTATCCCAGAACTTAAAAATAATTTGTTAAAAAAGACAAAATGATAGTGTCTACAGCTTTTCTGAGTGTACAGCATCACTCAACTTAAAGCTGTTACTAGTACTGAATGGAATAAAGATTTCCTTTTTTCCCTTTACTGTCCTCAGAAACACAGATGAGGGATACATCTTCACAGCATTCCTCAGAGCACTCAAATGATATCAAAACACTCTTCCCACAAGAAACACACAGGCAGAGGATTCTTCAGATAATAGGAATAAGAAATGTGAAATAAATTAGAATAAATCATGCAGCTGTTTTCAATATTTACTCCTGAAAGATAAAGCTGCACAGAATCAGTTTGGGAATAACTTCTCTTTCATTTTCACCTTTTATGATTATTGTAATAATTGGAGGAATTAGTAAACTAAAACCATCGAAAAGTTCGTCACCAAGCTGATTCTGATGGATGGTATTGATTTATAAACTCTCCTCTTGTCACGGCTAAGGTTGAACAGAAGGAACCCTGTGAAAGTTGTGTCATCGTCCTCATCAGCAAACAAGCCATTGAACTCTCTCTCTTCCTCCCACCTGCAGCCACACCTCATCCCCGAGCTTCAGCTGCAGGACAATGCCGCCAGAGGCCTGGTCCTCAGAGCTCATGTAAGCGTCTTTGGTGCGTATTTTTACTCCATTTTTGACTAAAGACACCTGAACATTCCTGGAGAAAACAGTGATGTGGTAGGTGAAGCACAGACCCCAGCAATGTGGCACGTGAACTTCCCCGTTGCTATATCATAATGGTTGAATTCGTTATACAGGATCTTATCAAATTTAATGGGCACATCTGAAGAAGGAAACTTGTTTCAGTAATCAGTGGTGAGCTCCACAGTGAAAGCACTTTTTGGCAAGACTACGCCTCACCAATTTTCCCTTTCTCTCCTCGACTTTCTCCAGCCTCTTATTCCTCGACTCCTTATACGTGTTCTGACCATGGTTCCTAAGCCCCTTGGGGCCATGTTTTCCTGGGGATCCTCTTGAGCCTTGATCACCTTTGGATGCCTTTTTTTGCTTCAACTTTTCCATCTGCTCTTAAACAGGAGAAAGAGCAAACAAAGAGATGGTTTGTGAAAGATTCCCTTGTGAACTTTGGTTTTCTATATAATTGAGCTCAGAAAATGAAACAAAGTAGTGTACATCGCTTCAGTATACACCCAGAGGTTAAAATTCAATTACTCCATCTGGGTGCGGTGTGGTCTCCAGCACCTCTCAGAGACCACGGCAGGAGGACTGCCTGAGGCCAAGAGTTCAAGACCAACCCAGCCAACATAGCAATACCCTAACTCTTAAAAAAAAAAAAAAAAAAAAAAAAAACATAAAAATAAGAAAATAAAATTCAATTACTCCAGCCCAGCTCAGTGACTCACGCCTGTAATCCTAGTACTTTGGGAGGCCAAGGTGGGCAGGCTGCTTGAGTCCAGGAATTCAAGATCAGCCTAGGCAACATGGCAAAACCTCACGTCTGCAAAAAATACAAAAATTAGCCAGTACGGGGTGGCACACAACTGTAGTCCCAGCTACTCGGGAGGCTGAGGTGGGAGGATCACTTGAGCCCAGGAAGTTGAGGCTGCAGTGAGCCGTGATCAAACCACTGCACTCCAGCCTGGG